TTTATTGGAGACCACCTTCAGACAATTTTGCTTTTCTTGGAGACCACCTTCAGACAACTTTGCTTTTATTGATGACCACCTTCAGACAATCTTGCTTTTATTGGAGACCACCTTCATGGACAAATTTTATTTGAGACTACCTTCAGACAACTTTTATTAGAGACCACCTTTAGACAAAGAAAATAGATTATACATTAGAGGGGAATTTACTAGAAAAAGGTGTAAAACGGCCATTTTGTTGTACTGTTTCCATACTGCAGGTGTACTTCACATATTTATGCTATATAACCTTTTGGGCCCTGGAATATCATTTTATAGAAAATCTAAAATTAATGTTAAAAGAAAACCAAATTATAAAATAGGCTGGTTTCATAATTGACCAATGATCATTTCACATGGACTCTATGCCTTTCACTTTACAAACGATGATTTTCCGTTATAGCAATAAATCAAATGATGTCTTTTATTCACCTAATTAATTATAATAAAGTTTATTTAACAGCTTTAAAAAATTCGAAATTGAAATGGATAGTCTAGGGAACATACTGTATTAATGTACTCTACTGCATATAATTTGTGAACAATTACATGATTTGTACACTTTGAACTCCTTTTCAGGCTAAAAGGGACTGAAAAAAATCATACCGAGAGATTCTCTAAATTCCCCTCTAATATATATTCTATTCTCTTTGCCTTCAGATAACTTTGCTTTTATAAATATAGGTTACGAATCGTACGACCTCACCTCATTATTGACTTTAGTCTTGTAGGTGTAGGACGTCCCTAAAACTCTGATTTGATTTGATTTGATTTTGGAGAACACCTTCAGACAACTTTGCTTTTACTGGAGACTACCTTCAAACAACTTTTATTGGAGACCACCTTAATACAACTTTTATTGGAGACCACCTTCAGACAATTTTGCTTTTATTGGAGACCACCTTCAGACAACTTTGCTTTTTTGGAGACCACCTTTAGACAGCTTTGATTTTACTTGGAGACCACCTTCAGACAACTTTGCTTTTTTAAGAAACCACCTTTAGGCAACTTTTATTGGACACTACCTTTAGACAACTTTCATTGGAGACCACCTACTGACAACTTTGCTGTTATTGGAGACGATGCCATCAGATATCTTTTATATATTGGTTTTGTAATAATGTTGACACAGTTTTATATCAATTTTTCGAGACAGGAACATCAGATAGAACTCTTATAGCTCTCGATCAACTCTTGAAATGCTCAGGTTTCAGCCTGTACCCCGTTTAATTTTTCCATAACAGTCCCTTTAAGTAATAAATGGTGTCTTTGAATATATCTGAATGATATTAATTTCTTCCCGGACTTCTGCATTTCTGCTTTATTATTAAAGTATATAAACCTTATATTGTATTCTGTATATTTGTAATTTTGTCTTTTTTTTACATTTTGTAAATTTGGTTTAGACCTTCTAAAAGGACTAAACTATACATCCAGCAATATAAGATCTATAATAAAGAATTTATTAAAACTTTTAGACAGGAATGGTTGTATAAACCTTCGATAATTCTAAATTGTATTATATGTTTGAAATATCTAAGGTCTACGACATTGGGTTTCAAAGATATAGAGATTATAAAATCAGAGTTTGCGACAAAGACTCAATTTCTTTCACGAAACAAGATGAAAATAAAAATGTCAACTTTGTCCAAGTTTTGACAGGATTTCCCATCTATTAGTCAATTCTGAGAACATTATTCTCATCTTCTGATAATACTTCAAATATTTTTCCTAGTTAACCAAAAGTTGTCCTGGGGCAAGAAATAAAATTTCCCAAAAATCTGAATGTATCCGGCCAATCAATGGAGGCTTTGGATATATTTTTATTGATAATATTAATAATTACAAAGATAAAAATATGCTGGAATAGTAATCCACACATCGATCAAAGATAGTATGCATGAACTCTATAGAGACCGGACTGGCTTTAAAGGGTTGCCAGACCATCGTGGGTTAAACTGTTCGGTCCTTTTCCTAGGAAGTTGTGACTTTCGATCACAATTTGACCTATTAAACCTAATCACAGGAGATTTGATTAAAATTAGAAATTTTTTTTTTATTAATTAAAAATGAAATCTAACCTAAACTCTTTATATCTTGGGCAATTTTAAGCACACAAAAAAGGCAGACCACGCATTTTAGAAATGGCAGTCCTAGGGCAGTTTTGTGATTTTCGTATCATCAATCATATATTTGAATATTTGTAAAATTAGATTCACAAATGAATGGTTTTTTTTTCAATATACTGAAAATATTTTTGAAACCAAAAAATACCAGACACACAGGGTTTTGATGTTTCCGGCCATCAAAATTTTCTTTAAAATAGGTTTAGGTTTTTTTCCAATTTACAAAAATTTTGGTAATATTTTTCATTTTAAAATAAGTTAACAACATATTGAATAAAAATTCCCTTTTTTCCGTGAAAAACATCTTCATGCATAATATACAGGGTTACCCGGAAAGAATGACTCTGTAAAGACGACCTGTTACTCAATATGAAGATAAATTGTTATGAATGTTGTCTTCCATACACTGTATTAGATATTAAAGGCTTTTTGCAGTTTATTTCGTTAGAAAAATCTTTTGTTTAAATATATTTTACTTTGAAATCAATTTTACAACAACATGACTCTCTAAATAATATTTTTATTTGGGTCCCTCCCTAAATAATATTTTTATTTGGGAGTCATGTTGGGAGTTTTTGGTATTAAACAACTTTACAAATTATGGAAGAAGACATTCTAAACTATTCACCAACCGTCATGTTTCGCGGGACACCCCATATCCTATATGCTTATGTAATAATTTGGCAAGGAAAAAAAGTTTACAGTTGCAAGGGGAATGATTAAAATAAGAAAACAGACAAATTATATACTCGATCCGTATCAGTCGTTTCTGAACTCTCATCCTTTGTGGTAAACCCTGCAGTTTAGTTACAGGGTGTCCCAAAAAACATGGGAATTCAGTGACGAATTCGATATCTTCTTTTTAACTAATTCTTTGATTTAGTATAGTGATACCTACAGAGAAAGCTGTAATCTGTAAGAGTTCAGTCTGCTATGTTCACATTTTGTTTGTTTATGTTTTGACTGCAATAGGTTGTACTTAGTAAAACAAGAAAATTGCAGTATACAAACAGAGTAAACTTGTCCACGTCTTCACTGTTCATCATGCGGAGACATTATAGACACATCTTTACAGTCTTTTACCCTTTTCATAAAATAAACTCTAGCAGACATAATAATATTATGGCTTTTAAAATTACGTAACACAATGCTAATTCATAACAAAGACGATATCGAATTCGTCACTGAATTCCCATGTTTTTTGGGACACCCTGTATAAACTAGCCGATCAAAATACAGGGTGTCCCACGAAACGTGACAGTTGTTGAATATTTTTGAATATCTTTTTTCATATTACATTGGAAATTAAAGACTTTCTGCATGTCATTTCGTTAAAAATAAAACATCTTTTTCTCAAATATATTTTACTTTGAAATCAATTTTACAGTAATATAATTTGCATACAATATACTTCATTAATCTCTTTAATATCAAACAACTTAACCAATTATGGAAGAAGACATTTTAAACTATTCACCAACTTTCATGTTTCGTGGGACACCCTGTATAAGAATTCATAAAAAGTCGTCTTACGCGAGAATCGACTTTAAAATAAGCTTTGGAAAAATTTGAATGTACTAAGCGCCCCCCCCCCCCCACCACGCTTACCGCTGAAATAAACAATTTTTTGTCTCTCTACTGCAACTAGGGATGGACATCGTTTAGTTTTTTGGTCCCTTTTTAAACATTTCAGTTTTTTTACTTTTCGGAGGCTCTACAAGTCCACAAGAATCTACAATTCTTATCCTCGCTCAATAATGTTTGCTTTTGTTACAGGGTGTCCCAATAAACATGGGAAGTGACGAATTCGAGATCTTCTTTGCTATGAATTAGCATTGATAATACCTGATTTCAAAAGCCATAATCTATATTTATGACTGCTACAGTTTATTTTATGAAAACGGTATAAGGTTGTTTGAAATAAAGATGCGCGAAGCGCAAATTTAAAACATTTGGCTTCTTAAATATCAGTCATAAGTATAAGATACTTTAAAGGTACAAATACAGTCCAATTACCTTGCATGTACTATACTTTATCTCTCCTTCAAACAAAACTAGCAGAAAAACATGTTTAAAAAATCTACATTTTATTATATGTTCAGTTAGTATTTATGCTGAAGATAGTAACAGAATTTTTTGAAAATGAAATTCTGTGAACTCAACTCAATTCTGTGTACTCAGTGAACTTAAAAGGAAAATTAGGTTTCAGCTGCTCACTGCAATAATATTTATTCCTTTGTAGAGGGGCTTCCCTCAAACACCCAATTCAGAACAGCAAACAAATGTTTTTTTATGTTTTTAACTCTTCAGTCTTAAATTTAAGTTTAAGTGGGATAGCTCTGAGTTCTAGAGGGGGGGCTAGGCCCCCCTTCACAGGTCAAAACATAAACAGACATAGATCATACAGATTACAGCTTTATTGCAGTAGGTATATTTATATCCCTATACTAAATCAAATCATTATTATTTAAAAACACGACGATACCGAAATCGTCACTCAATGTCCATGTTAATTAGGACACCCTGTACAATATGCAAAAGTTTTAAACTCTACCAAAGTTATTAATTAAAGATTTTCAAAACGCATGGAACAATATAATTTTGCTTTTATTACTTTAACCCTATGAAGGCTAGGTGAAAGTGTTAAGATTAAGAGTGCTAAGACAAAAAACTGCAGGGGGGGGGGCGCCAACTTCCCCCCCCAGACTGTTTAGGGTTAACTTAGGAAACTAAATTTAAATATCGACGATATTTTGTTTTTACAATAGAACTTGTACTCTACACTACGCGTATCAATTCTAGAATTCAAATCGGCCATTAAGCAAAACAACAAAGTTTAGGTTTTTTTAATTTATTTGAAACTTTGCCCAATTAGAGAGTTATTTTATCCCGAAAAAATGGGTGATCCATCTGGACAAAGAACAGGGTCTCCATTCTGACACAATAAGGAACCCTGAAATACATTGGAAAATAAATATGGTTATAATTGTTAACATTTTATTATTGTTATTATTATTACTAATTTTATTATTGTTATATATATAATATAGCTCTTCGCTCATATACAATATAAAAACATGTTAGCTATAGCTGGTAGGAAACCCACGGGCACCCTGGGGATAACAAAGGCTAATGGTTTGGCATTGATAGAATAGTTGAGATTGTGCCCAGTGGTTTGGCATTGATAGAATAGTTGAGATTGTGCCCAGTGGTTTGGCATTGATAGAACCGTTGAGATTGTGCCCAGTGGTTTGGCATTGATAGTATAATCAAGATCAAGCCCAGTGTTTTGCATTGATAGTTAAACATATCGTGTCAGGTTTGACATTGATAGTAAAGTGAGATTGAGTTGTACCTGGATAGATACGAGTTTGAGAAACCCTTATTGAGTAGGGCATTTACTATACACAATGTACAAAAAATATTTCGCTAAAAATCGTTAATGACGACCTTTTGTTAACGACCATTAACGACAACCCTTCCTTTACGATCGTTAACGACCTTTTCAAGACAAATCCTTAGATTAGAAATCCCTTAGGTCAAACATTTAAGTTATATTTCTATTGATATAAAAAACATTTAAGACAACATTCATTAAGTTATCTTCTTGATAAAAAATTTAAATTAATTGTCAGGGATTCAAATTCATGAGCGAAATTTTTTTTCAAACACGATCGTTTTTTGTTGTTTAAAAGTTGAAAACGAAAACCTTTTCTAAAGCGCAACGATAATTTTTAGAAAAAATGGAAAACAAAACAAAAACGTTTTGTTTAAAAAAACGACTAACAACCTTAGTTTAAATATCCTCAAAGATGTGGTTTTTTATTTTCAACAAATTGGAGAATATTGTGCACTTCGAATTTAGTGAACAATCTCTTTAAGATACGTACACTATTGCAAGATGGAGGAGATCCAGGGCTTGCAACTGGTGAGCTTCCATCCTCGCATGTCAGCTGCCATGGAACAGCTGTTCCGTCCGGACATGTTGGTCTAATAAAGATTGATTGATTGATTAATTTGTTTATTAATTGATTAATGTGTATTACTATCAAATATTTAAACACTTTTATTACTTCAAATCTATATGCTAGTATTTAATTTTAACAGTCTATAAACCTTTTCTTGGGTCGTGTGAGTGGCCACAAAAAAATGGGCCTCAACGGTTCGAAAACTATAAACAGACACATAAATACCAAGACAGACAAACCAAAAACAAACATAATCTAAAGCATTCTTAACGTTTGACATTTTGTTGAAAATGTTAATGCAAATTTACAGTCCTACTTGCCCTGAGCACATGGTTTATATTCCATTCCTACTTGCCCTGAGCACATGGTTTATATTCCTACCTGCCCAGCACATGGTTCGTATTCCTACCTGCCCTGAGCACATGGTTTATATTCCTACTTGCCCTGAGCACATGGTTTGTATTCTCGTACCTGCCCTGATCACATGGTTTGTATTCTCCTACCTGCTCTGAGCACATGGTTTATATTCCTACCTGCCCTGAGCACATGGTTTATATTCCTACCTGCCCTGAGCACATGGTTTGTATTCTCCTACCTGCNTATCTGTATGCTGAACACCCAGTTTATTTTCCTACTTGCCCTGAGCAAATGGTTTAAATTCCTATCTGAGCTGAGCACATGGTTTGTATTCCTACCTGCCCTGAGTACATGGTTTATATTCCTACCTGCTCTGAGTACATGGTTTATATTCCTACTTGCCCTGAGCACATGGTTTGTATTCTCCTACCTGCCCTGAGCACATGGTTTATATTCCTACCTGCCCAGCACATGGTTCGTATTCCTACCTGCCCTGAGCACATGGTTTATATTCCTACCTTCCCTGAGCACATGGTTTGTATTCTCCTACCTGCCCTGAACACATGGTTTGTATTCTCCTACCTGCTCTGAGCACATGGTTTATATTCCTACCTGACCTGAGCACATGGTTTATATTCCTACCTGCCCTGAGCACATGGTTTGTATTCTCCTACCTGCCCTGAGCACATAGTTTGTACAACCTGTTCTGAGCACATGGTTTGTATTCCTATTTTTGCCCTGAACACCCAGTTTATTTTCCTACTTGCCCTGAGCAAATGGTTTAAATTCCTATCTGCGCTGAGCACATGGTTTGTATTCCTACCTGCCCTGAGTACATGGTTTATATTCCTACCTGCTCTGAGTACATGGTTTATATTCCTACCTGCCCTGCGTACATAGTTTATATTCCTACCTGCCCTTGACACATGTTTTGTATAACTACCTGCCATGAGCTGCACATGGTTTATATTCATACCTGCCCTGGGCATTTGGTTATAATATTCCTACCTGCCATTTGCACATGGTTTTTATTCCTACCTACCCTTTGCACTTGGTTTGTATTCCTACCTGCCATGAGCACATGATTTGTATTTCTACCTGCCCTAAACACATGCGTTTGTATTCCTACCTGCCCTGAGCACATGGTTTGACTGGTTTAGGCCGGCTTGCTCCTTCAAGCTCTTCACCAGGAGGGCACACGCAGTTGGGTTTTCCCTAGAATTTTATTTTTAGAATGACTGTCAGGGCCTATAGAATATACAGTAAGAACCTACAAATTCTGGAATAGGAAGACGACTTTTAGACTCAAGAATTATGACTATAAATCGTCCAATGAACATGAGACATGAGACACAGCAATAGTGCAGCGCAAAAAGATCCATTTTATTTAATTAAAGTAAACGAGCTGATATACATTGCAGTGTTTGTAACAATAAAGAAAAGAACTGTAAGGATTAAATTGTTGTGACCCTCCATCATGCAAAGATGGAAATATCGAATTAACAATTTGGTTACCACAGAAGCATTTTCTGATCAAGTATGATTTAGAAATCCATGTTTAAAATACAGGGTGTCCCACGAAACATGACAATAGGAAGACGACTTGGAAGTCGTCTTTGGTATTTGAATTTATTTGTGACATTTAGTCTTCTATCTACTTTAACATGTATGATTCTTGAAACAATTATCACATAATTCTCCTAGCCCTGGCATTTCCAAAAAGTGGTCTGCGTTTTTTGTGCTTTCAATATTACCGGAGATATAAAGAGTTTGGTTCAGATTTCAATTTTGTTAAATAAAAGCAAAATTCTCGAAATCTGAACGAAATTCTTCATATCTCGGGCAATATTGAAAGCACAAAAAAGACAGACCACATTTTGGAAATGGCAGGACAAGGGAAATTTTGTGATTATTATCCCTAGAAATTTACTTCTAAAATTAAGTTGACAAATAAACGCAGCAAATTATATCAAAAATCAAGACGACATTTAAGTCGTCCTGCATAGTGTCATGTTTCGTGGGACACCCTGTACAAAAAGTAAAGAAATTATCAGAATTAAACACTCATATAAAAATGACAATATCTTCCATCTTATTGATAAGATAAAGTTTTAATGGGACCGTTGTGAATCAGGCATAGTCATCTTTGGAGGACCACTTGAAATTATGCTTAGTCCCAATTTAACCTTTGAAATATCGCAAGGTGGAAACATGCGGAGGTCAAGTTCTGAACCATCTCCACATGTGCAGGATGCTGGGCTCCCTCCAGAGCAATTAGGCAACTGCATGCTCTCAGAGCACTTCATCAAACTCATCACCAGAGCAAAGATTATAGTCTTCATTACTAAAATAAACCTTAGTATTTTGCGCAATTTCAAAAATTATCTTGTAGAAGACGACATTTAATACCTACTCTTGTTTGTTAACTGGGCTTATTATAGGAGGAGATTACTGCTCTATGCCTAATCTTCTACTGATGGTAACTGACCAAACAACATTTAAATAAACTGAAGATAGGGGGACCACGTTGACACTGCTTGTTACCCATTGTTTTATTACTGATTAGGGGCAGCTTATAAAATATCGTGCAATTGTAGAGGAATTCTAAGGGGGGGGGGCGGAGGCGGGACAAAATTGTCCCTTTTTCAGCCAAACATACTTATTCTGTAAAAATTGCGATTAACAAAATATCAAAAATATGAAAACTAAAGATTTAGCATCGTTTTTGGTGCTCTTTTTCAAAAAGAAAAAATGAAGAAAAAAAACTGGCTTTATCGTTCCGGTGAATATCAATTAGGTCAAAGTTAAAATTTTGCATATGCATTTGAAAAGCGCAAACTTTTGTGTACTCTGATTTTTAAACCCCCAGTAACCTTACATTAAAAAATAAAACGTTGCCAATCAAAATTCTCTATTTTGATTCTAAAAACTAAAAAATTTCAATTTTTTTTAATCGCTCAGAAATTATTATCGGGCCCCTAGCTTAAAAAAATATCTTAAATTTAATCTGACTTTGATTCAAATCAGGTTTTCCAAACCAATATTTGTTCTTTGTTTCAATACATTCCAGAATTATTCATTCAAATGTTTATACTTCTAATTTAACTTTAAAAAAAATAGTATTTGTATTGTGCCGAAATCATAACTTTGAAGATTTTTAACATAAAACATGTTCTTAAAACTACAAAAGAAATAGGGCGGGCATTCAGAGTGGGTTATGGGGGCTAAGTCACCCGGGGCCCTCTTCTTGGGAAAACTTTGATGTTCAGTATGGATTCAGTAACCAACAAGGGGCTGAACCCCCCCCCCCCCCTCTGGAATGTCAAAAAGGTTGAGTGGACGTTATTAATCGTTTTTTGTTGCGTTTTTCAATCGTTTTCAAAAACGATAGTTTTGTTTTCAAAAAGATCGTTTTTAAAAACGACCCACTCGTCTTGAACTTTTAGAAAACGAATAACGACAATTTTTGGAAAAAAAATTTATTGACAATTTTGTTAACGATCGTTAACAAAGGGTCGTCGTTAACGATCGTTTACGAAGGGTTGTCGTTACTTTGTAAAAACGGTCGTTTTTGGGAAAAACTATCGTTTCTTAAGCTAAATCTTCTTGATATTTTCTTTAAAACTCAATGATAAGTACAGATGCCCTTCAGGTTGGTTTCCTCTCTTCGTTAACGGTCGTTAATGATGGTCAAAAAAACGACCATTTTTAAAACGATCGTTTTGTTTTAGATTTTTTGTCGTCGTTTTCATTACGAAACGATCGTTTTTCAAAAAAATGAAAACGTTAATGTTGATGTTTTTAGAAAGCAAATAGTTTTACTATAGATATTTATCAAAATACTAATAAATAGATACATGTTGTAAGAATCCAAACAGACAGACAGTCAACACTGTAAGGGTTCCTTGCTTATTGGATTTGGTACACACTGTTTGCGCCTTCTCCTTTTTCATCTCTGGCCATGTCATTCTCATATCTAAGCTCAAACCTAAGTATCTAAAAGTTCTGTCGCCTTTTTTCTTCCTTTTTCAATTGCTGCATTTGTTATTGACACATTTATGAAAAAATCTAAATTATGACTTTAAATTAATGTTAGAAAAAAAAAATCAGAACTCCACTCTGTTTTCTGGTTCTCATTTGTGTTTCTCTACTTTACATTACACACTTTATATTTTTAATTTCCCCCGGTTCTTACATCTTTACTATCTACAATCTACATTCTTTAATTTACTCTTTACTAGCTTATAGATTAGTTACTCGACCACCGTTTACCCGCACTTAGTCGTAAATACGATTTTAGTTAGTTTTCCTTAGAAAAGTGGACCACTCAACTATTCCAAAGCTAAGAATATTCTTGTCGTTCTCCCAAGTTCCCCAATCAAAGTTTGAGGCAAATTAGTCGAGGGGTTCCTGAGTTATGATCGGACAGACATACATATATAAATTTATCTTTCTGTAATAAATATCGTAGTAAACTCCATATTTGTATAAAACCTGAACATCCTAATATATTTATTACGTGATAACATTATACCCTAACTACGTTCATGAATTTAACTGTATAAAACCTATCGGTCCTTAATATTATCATGCATTACGTTTGTTAATTTCTGAGAACTACGTGCATTGGTTTAACTACGATATAAACGTAACATGAACCATATAAAACCAAAATATACATAAGTAGAACAAGGTCCTTTGTCTCATGTACGAGAACAAAGTGTCATGTCGAGTTGTATCTGAATGATACATATTGAGGAATACTTATAGCGACATAGCATTATTGAGGAACCATGCGTTCAAGATTAAGTTGTATCTGTGCGATACATATAGAGAGATACAAGAGCGTCATTGACTGAGTATCATAGCTGAAAGTCAGCACTTGTTGTATATGTACTATACATATTGAGAGATACATGAGCGTCATTGACTGAGTATCATACAGGGTGTCCCAAAAAACATGGGAATTCAGTGACGAATTCGATATCGTCTTTGATATGAATTAGCATTGTAATACCTAATTTAAAACCCATATAATTATTATGTCTGCTAGAGTTTATTTTATGAAAACGGTAAATGGCTCTAAAGAAGTGTCTATAATGTCTCCGCAAGATGAACAGTGAAGAAGGACAAGTTTACTCTGTTTGTATGCTGCAATTTTCTTGTTTTACTAAGTACAACCGTATGCAGTCAAAACATAAACAAACAAAATGTGAACATAGCAGACGAAACTCTTACAGATTACAGCTTTCTCAGTAGGTATCACTATACTAAATCAAAGAATTATTTAAGAAGACGATATCGAATTCGTCACTGAATTCCCATGTTTTTTGGGACACCCTGTAGCTGAAAGTTAGCACTTGTTGTATCTGTACTATACATATTGAGAGATACATGAGCGTCATTGACTGAGTATCATAGCTGAAAGTCAGCACTTGTTGTATCTGTACTATACATATTGAGAGATACAAGAGCGTCATTGATACAGACTTTGAATTTTATAGCTGAAAGTCAGCACAAGTTGTATCTGTACGATACATATTGAGAGATACAAGAGCGTCATTGATACAGACTTTGAATCATAGCTGAAAGTCAACACAAGTTGTATCTGTATGATACATATTGAGAGAACTTCTTGGAGTAAGGCATTTGTGACATGTCTAACTAACACCTGTCTAATCTTACACAATACATCAATTTCTTTGGGTTTCTTAAAACTATCCTTTTCTTCACAATCTCTATCCATAAATCTATCTAACTACGAATATATCTATCCTATCTATATATCCTCTGTCTTTCTATTTATCTATCTATCTATCTATCTATCTATCTATCTATCTATCTCTTGAAAAACCGACCTGTGTTGGTTTCTCTGCCTGTTTTCAGGGGTAAACATTTTCATTCTAACATTTTCACAAATAACATTTTAAAAAATGTTTTAAAAATTTGTCAGTAAAATATAAAAAAAATGTTAAGTTTAAAAAATCCCCCCTCCCATAAAAGTCCCTGTCTGGTATACAGTATACGTCCTATATATAAGGTCAGTGGGAAAAGAAGGTTTCTCTAAGGCGGAAACCAGATTTTCTTTAATTTTATCAAGAAAACATAGAGTTTAAATAGTTCAGTGATCGTTTACTTTCATTATTATTTAAATTCACAATAAAGACGTTATTAATCTAATTCTTAATGACAGTCGTTTGTGAAATTATTTGAGTGTATGAGTTAAAGCATACCGCCAGTGCATGAATTACAGTTATTTTGAACTATTTAGTGAAAGCTGCAACAATGCGATCGACAGTACTTGGGGCCCATAGACTTGATACCAATCTTATATATGTATTTATATGAATTTAATGTTGTTAAAAAGCAACTAGATTTACACCTAGCTAATAAATAAACTTATGAAGTGAAATGGGTCTGTGAACACTGCTCACATGATGTGTGTCATGTTCTTCGGAATATTTAAAATCAAAATTTGAGTCTAACAGGCGTCAATTTATAACAAGTCATTTTTGCAGAGAAAACGCTATTGAAAATAATTAGTTTTTAAAATTTTAAAAATATACAATTCAAGTTTAAGGCAAAGCTTTTAAGGATAAGATTAAATACCTAAGATTGACTTATATCAAAGTGAAGAAATAAGTGTGTTACTGTTTTCAGATACTATGTTGTAAAACAATCAAAATTCTTTCAAAATGTTGCACAAAAATCTTCGCACTGTACTCTACTACGTGATCGGGGTCACCTTTATATGTTTGATGATTGAATATAGAAAAAAGACGGACGACGACTTTTATAAACTGGATAAAAATCTGTACTCGGTAGTAACAGCTAGTTTACAACAGCTAGAGGCACAGCCACAGGTTAGAAGATTATCAAATGATTATGTTAAAAACATCAAAACCCTGAAATTATATAAAAATACCACCTTTACGCCATTTTCCAAAGATTCATTTTTTTGTAGATGAAAAATCTTCAAAAACTTATGTTTTTAGAAAATGTTTAATGCATGTATTGAGGATATATCAGTTAAAAATTACAAATTTTGTAGCTTTCCTTTAAAAATTATGGAATACGAAAAAAAAATTATGTTTTTGGATACCCATGTATCAACTCAACATTTCTGTCATTATCAATAATACTTTTAAATGATTTTTCTAGGAAACTGAGGATACAGACAATGAAGTTATTCCTTTACGAAACCGTGGAAAGGAGAAACCAGATTTTATATCAAGTAAATCTAAGGTAATCCGCCAAATCTTTCAAATAAAATATATTGGATATATAAATCTATTTAAGTATAATGGTTTAGAAAAAGAAAACTTTTAAACATGTCTTTCTTTAACATTTCTTTAAACAATCTTACACTATATTTACTTTATTTTATTTGAATTTTGTTTCAAATGAGGATTGTTCTGTGTTCAGTTTCGTTTTTCAACAAATCATTCATAAAATACCAATTAAACTAATGAGCTATACATTTTTAAAGTTTATAGAAATTTTACTTTTAATTATAATACTTTTAATTACAATACTTTTAATTACAATACTTTTAATTACAATACTTTTAATTACAATACTTTTAATTACAATACTTTTTATTACAATACTTTTAATTACAATTCAACCTTAAGTTTTTGTCTTGTAAATACTATTTTACATGGGGAAGAAAGAAACAAGTTTATATATTTACTTAATGTAGTATAAGTTAAAAGACTGAAAAAACGGCATTGTAATTTTCATAGAAGCATTTTTAATTTTTGAAATCAAATATACAGTTTTCTCCGCCTATGGGTATCTTAAAGAGCTAAAGTGTGCATTGTTTTAGTATCAATAATCTTACTAAACTGATCGGGGGGTGGTGTATACGCCTCTTTTCCCTTTATACATATATTCTTATTTTTTTCAGGCGCCTCAAAGAATCAGCAATGAGCTAAAAAGTAAATACAGAGAATGGAAAAAAGAACAAGTAACCAAAGGAAAAAAGGCAAAATCTTAAATTTCAAAATTCTGGAACAATAATAAATAAATATTCTTTTATTTTTTTATGATTTTTTCTTCCGGAGAAGATTTTTTAAAATCTAAGTCGATTATTTAATTGACGAATTTAGTGTGTTCAGTACAGTACAGTACAGTACAGTACAGTACATTACTGTACAGTACAGTACATTACATTACAGTACAGTACAGTACAGTACAGTACAGTACATTTCAGTACAGTACAGTACAGTACAGTACAGTACAGTACAGTACAGTACAGTACAGTACAGTACAGTACATTACAGTACAGTACAGTACAGTGCAGTACAGTACAGTAAAGTACAGTACAGTACAGTACAGTACAGTACAGTACAGTACATTACAGTACAGTACAGTACATTTCAGTACAGTACAGTACAGTACAGTACAGTACAGTACAGTACAGTACAGTACAGTACAGTACAGTACAGTACAGTACAGTACATTACATTACAGTACAGTACAGTACAGTACAGTACAGTACAGTACAGTACAGTACAGTACAGTACGGTACAGAACAGTACTGTACTGTTATAGGTTCAAGGACTTTACAAGCAGTGGAAGCATGACCAAGGACTCCTGGATGAAGATAATGATGAAGGGTCTGGATCAGATCCTACTAAACCTGGAAAATCTGGCAAACCTGTTCCTCAAGACGGAGAAGATTTTAAAACATGGAAACTGAAGAATGGGGGGAAGGGAGAGGATGAGAAGGGTTTGTATAAAAGATGGAAGGTGGAGAAGGGTTTGAATAAGAAGAATGAGACAAAGGCAGAGGATGGAGAGGATTTTAAATCTTGGAAAAAGAAAAATGGCGGAGAAGAAGGAGACGTTCTGGGACTTTACAAGAAATGGAAAGCGGAAAAGGGATTGAATAAGAAAAAGAAAGTGAAGGAACTCGAAGATTATGTTGAAATAGAACAGAGGAAAATTGAAAGCGGTAAAACAACTTTTTTATAATTTCAATTTTTTTAGTTTAGAAGAAATCTCCTACATTTCCACTTCTACTTCATCCTTCATAGAGGGAATTTGCATAACTCTAACCAATATTTCACTTATCTATTGCATTTATAAAGAGAAAATATAGTTTAGGGCAAAAGTCGTGCTTTATGAGATTTTAGAACCAATGTTCAATAATTAATTGTGGTAGAAACCATGTTAACACTACCGGTTCTTTTTTGACATTTACAAAGTACAAACCTATTCCAGGCATTCTTCCTGACGAGCCTAAACATGATGAGAAGGAAGAAGAAGAAGATGAGGAAGAAGAAGATGGAAACAAGGAAGAAGATTTAAAGAAGGAGTTCAAGGAACCAGTTTCTGAATATACTCCCCCAGATCCAGACCATAGCTGTGTAGTAAGTTTTTTCTTCAAATTATTGATATAATAATAATACTAATGATGATATTTATAACTAGTTTGGGAACCCAGCGCTGCCCAGGTTACTGAAAGTTACTCATGCCGTGTAACTTGGGCAGAGCTATTCTTATCCCATTCCATCCCATCCGGCCCCTTCTACCGGGAAACTAATTTTCGCTTTTAAAGTCGACCCACTCAATTTAGAATCTCAAAACCAAGTTAAGAACATTGCTTTGGTTCTCCCGAGTTTCCCAATCAAAATTTGAGGAAAACCGGTCCGGGGATTACTTAGTTATGATCGGACAAACAAACAAACAGATACCCAAACATAGATTACAACTTTATATATATATAGATAGATAATAAAAATAACAATAGTAACTATAAAGATACTAAAGATAATAATAATAATTATAATAGAAATAGTTATAACAATAATAATGATAATAGTGATACTAATGATAATTCAGCAGTTCCCATTTTAATATTTAATTGGTTTATTTATATCATAAGTAATTGATTAATAATCTTTTATTTAGAATTTTACGTTTACGGACGAGTTACTAAAACGTGCTGAGGATGTAAAGGAACAGTGCTCTAGACTTGGAGAAGAGGTAGCAGATCAGTCCAGGTAAAGGGACAGTGCTCTAGACTTGGAGAAGAGGTGGCAGATCAGTCAAGGTAAAAGGACAGTGCTCTAGACTTGGAGAAGAAGTAGCAGATCAGTCAAGGTAAAGGGACAGTGCTCTAGACTTGGAGAAGAGGTGGCAGATCAGTCTAGGTAAAGGGACAGTGCTCTAGTCTAGTAGAAGAGGTAACAGATTAGTCCAGGTAAAGAGACAGTGCTCTAGACTTGGAGAAGAGGTAGTAGATCAGTCTAGGTAAAGGGACAGTGCTCTAGAGAGGAGGTAACAGATCAGTCCAGGTAAAGGAACAATGCTGTAGACTTGGAGAAGAAGTAGCAAATCAGTCCAGGTAAAGGGAAAGTGCTCTAGACTTGGAGATGAGGTGGCATTCCAGGTGAAGGGAACAGTGCTCTAGACTTAGAGAGGAGGTAGCATTCCAGGTAAAGGGACAGTGCTCTAGACTTGGAGAAGAGGTAGCAGATCAGGCTAGGTAAAGGGATAGTGCTCTATTCTAAGAGAAGATGTATTAGATCAGTCCAGGTAAAGGGACAATGCTCTAGACTTGGAGAAGAGGTAGAAGATCAGTCCAGGTAAAGGGACAGTGCTCTGGTCTAGTAGAAGAGGTAGTAGATCAGTCCAGGTAAAGGGACAATGCTCTAAACTTGGAGAAGAGGTAGAAGATCAGTCCAGGTAAAGGGACAGTGCTCTAGACTTGGAGAAGACGTAGAAGATCAGTCCAGGTAAAGGGACAGTGCTCTAGTCTAGTAGAAGATGTAGCAGATCAGTCCAGGTAAAGGGACAGTGCTCTAGACTTGGAGAAGAGGTAGTAGATCAGTCCAGGTAAAGGGACAGTGCTCTAGTCTAGGTGGAGAGGTAGAAGATCAGTCCAGGTAAAGGGACAGTGCTCTAGTCTAGTAGAAGATGTAGCAGATCAGTCCAGGTAAAGGGACAGTGCTCTAGTCTAAGAGAGGAGGTAGTAGATCCGTCCAGGTAAAGGGACAGTGCTCTAGACTAGGATAAGAGGTAGCAGATCAGTCCAGGTAAAGGGACAGTGCTCTAGACTTGGAGAAGAGGTAGCAGATCAGTCCAGGTAAAGAGACAGTGCTCTAGCCTTGGAGAAGAGGTAGTAGATCAGTCCAGGTAAAAGGACAGTGCTCTAGACTTGGAGAAGAGGTAGCAGATCAGTCCAGGTGAAGTGACAGTGCTCTAGACTTGGAGAAGAGGTAGCAGATCAGTCCAGGTGAAGTGACAGTGCTCTAGACTTGGAGGATAGGTAGCAAATCAGTCTAGGTAAAAGGACAGTGCTCTAGACTTGGAGAAGAGGTAGCAGATCAGTCCAGGTGAAGTGACAGTGCTGTAGACTTGGAGGATAGGTAGCAAATCACTCTAGGTAATAGCGTCATAGAAAATATATGATAGGTTGTGCACTTGTTTATACTCTGCCGGCTGCAAGGGAAAAATTGCTGTAGACAAGGCCATATTATGAAACACTGTCCGAGATGAACTTACAAGAATCTAGAATTCTTTTGTCGAAAATATCCACTCCTTGCCTATCCTTTCTTATCCCATTTGTCATTATTAATTCGGAAATCTGGCAATGTTTAGCAGTGACTTTTATTTTTTAACCTGTAAGAATATAAAAAATGAACAATAGCTGGATGAAAAGCAGATGCATCATCATTCCTGAATATAACTTGACACCTCTGCATGGAAAACAAATAGTAATATGCGTAATATTAGGAATAAAGAAATTCAGAAATATGCAAAATGCATTTTTCCCTTGTCTACAAGGGATTAGAATGCGAAGATCTTAAAGTGAGGAACAGAAAACAGATTTACATGATCAGCTAAAAAGAAGATACAACAGTCAGAGCAAAAAAAATCACTGCCCTTCATAAAATTTTGTTAAAAAAATTTTAATTCAAAAATAAATTGTAAAAAACACACATTAGATTGCTTGAATATTATATTCATATCCACACTTTTTTTATCACACTGTAAGATAAGATTTAATGTTTACTCCACTGATTCCTTTTTACCAACTTTATGTCGTGTATACGATGTATACTCAATAATCAAAAAAAAAATAAAAAATACAATTATTCCTGGCAATACTTTTTAAGATTACTATTAAAAAATGGTAGTGATAATCTAAAAAGAGCGTTATTTTGAAAGCTGGTTTTAATAAAAGTCGAATATAAAAAAATATTTTTTTATATTTGTATATATGTTAGCTATAATTACTGGCCAAACGGCTGGATCGAATGAGATGATTTTTTAAAAGAAATTCATGGGTAACAAAGGCTAAAAGATTATTTTTTCAAAAATCGATTTTCATTCAAAATTCAATTTTTTATGTTTATTCGAAACTTTTATTTGGATGGGCAACGCTGGGCACTTTAGCTTGTAAATAATAATTTTATTTGAAATATTTTGATTAAAATTCTTGTTAAGAATGTTGAGCCGCCTGCGGTGGGCTGTGGACGAAAGACTTCTCTATTGTCCCGTGTTTAAGGTATTGTTGGGAAAAATTCTCATTTCGACAAATTCTGTGGAAAAAGAGGAATTTCCATTAAAAAAGTCAGCAATCGTTTTCGCTATTAAAAAATTGAAAAACAAAAATACAGGTCGATTTCTTTAATTGGATGTCAAATCCGCAAAATTGAATACAAAGAAATCTTCCAATTATATGATTACTGTAATTCCCGAAGTAAAAATGGCTACATCCTGAAAAAAATATTACATGTCTTCCTTAATCAGATCAAACAATGTAATAAATACAGTATTGTATCTTCATTTTTCTCCATTTCCTCCCTAAACTAATGTTTTCAAAACTGTTTAATTATGATTTCTGACCTGCAGTCGCAAAGACTTTGAAGGACCCTTGATATATTTAGAATACGATTTCAGCTTTTAAAATATTAAATTCGTCCCTCATGTGATGTAACAAAGTCAAATTGTCCAAATATCGAGTTAAAACTTCAAAGTTTGAAAATTGTTTGAGAGCCTCCGTCAATATATTCTAGTTGAACTGAGAATGTAGTATTCTGGAGCGATTTTTATAGGATTCATTTTAGACATATAAAACGTTTTAGTGATGTATAATTACTTAGTTTGAGCTCAAAGCCGACGTTCAAATCATCAATTTGGGTGATTACGTTTTGAGAATCGATTTTTTAAAATAACTAAATAACGACGACGAAAAAAATTCTACAATTAACTTATGTGTCAATAGAAATTTGTCAATGAATCAATGTTAGAATCAAATTTCTTTTTCATCATTATATTGAATTTCTTATTCTTTACAAATTTTTCAAAAGTCGTCTTTTCAATAAAATTTCCAGAAAATCTACAGAAAATAAAATATTTGTGAACAATGAGAGATTACATAAACTAATAACTAAAAAAAGATTACCTATTTTCGATGATAAGAGATAATTTTTATTTTCTCAACCTATTCCTAAACAGCTCATTAGTATCCTTCAGAATTTTTGTTACATTTTTTGTCGTCGATATTTAATAATTTTAAAAAATAAATTTATAAAACGTTACTACCCAAATGAATGATTTTTAAAGTCTACTTTGTGCTCAAACTCAATAATTATATATCATTAAAGCGTTTTATACGCCTTTCATGAATCCTAAAAAATGTCTCGACAATACATTGACGGTCACTCCCTTTGAGCAGAGAAAGATTAACAATGCTGGAGATAATTAATTTCTATATCAAATTTCATATTAAAATTATCTTTTTGTCAGCATGTAGAATTATCTAACCTTATCTGCATATTTTCCTAAATTTGATTACAAAAATTGATTTTCCCAATTATTGAGAGAAGAAAAATGAATCGACACACCTACCTATATAACTACCTATCTACCTACCTACCTACCTACCTACCTACCTACCTACCTACCTACCTACCTACCTACCTACCTACCTACCTACCCACCTAACTACCTACCTAACTACCTACCTACCTACCTACCTACCTACCTACCTACCTACCTATCTACCCACCTAACTACCTACCTAACTGCCTATCCACCTACCTACCAACCTGCTTAGCTACCTACCTACCTACCTACGCATCATACGTACCTTCCTATCTACCTACCTTCTTCTTACCTACACTACATACCTATCCACCTACCTACATATATATACCTACCTACCTACATACCTACCTCTACCTCCCTATCTATCTAGGCTGCATCTACTACCTGGTTAGTTAACTATCTCAAGCTATCTGGAAGTAAGATTAGTTCTAAGGTAAATATTAATCTTTTAAAATGAAAATATAGAATAAATGTAAAAGGAACTGATTTCTTGCCAAAAAGTCTTACTTTTAATCGGACTTTAACTTTAAAACCCGATGTAGTAGATCTTTGATTTGTCAAAGCATGAACTAATTTATATAAAAATGTATAAAGTAGTTATCTCTTTTATTGTGTGCGTCCGATCATTTGACCGATTTGCCTCAAATTTTGTTTGAAAAACTCGGTCGAATATTCTTAGCTTGGCTTAAAGGTTGTTTGTTGACTTTTAAAGAGAAAGTTTGGTTTGCAGGCAAAACTGGGTTCCCAAGTTAATGTTAGATAGAATAGTTTTAAATATAATAGGCTTACACCATCAGAGTTGCAAGAACTCAGTTCCTTTATCGAAACTCAAAAAATTCTAATATTGTTAGAAAAGATAATATGATCAAAATTGTTGTCATACTAAACTTCTGCTTTTCTCTTTAATTCAAAATTTCTTGGCTCCTTGTTCCTAATTAATTGATTGATTTTGAACTGAAACATCTGTAAAATATACAGTCTCTGTAAAATATACAGTTTCTGAATACAGATGAGATATATGGGTTATGTCAATATGAAAAGATGAAAAGGCAAAGGATCAAACAGTGTTTCAAATTAGTCAACTTGATTTTAATTAATCGGTTCAAAGGGACTGGAAGCGTAATTTCAAGTGACCCTAAAAGCAAAGATTGCAATGCCCGATTCACCATCGTATCCTTAAAAGTTTTATCTGACCGGCCAAGAATGAACGTAAACTTAAAATTTGCGACAAATGATTATTTTCGGTTGTGGTCTCTCTCTAATTGTCACTTGCGCATTTCTACTTTTCATACATACCTAAAACAAACGACAATATCTTCCACATTATTGATCAGATAACGGTTTCAAGGGCACCGTTGTTATGGCATCTCTTTGCATGGCTACAGTCCCTTTAAATTACCCAATTTGTTCATGTTTTTATTTTTCGCTGTTAAAAATATAGTTTGAATTTTAGAGATTTTCATTTTCTCTGACTTTTGATACTTTTTCATACATTTTTTATAAATGTTTCAACAGTTGACATTTTTAGAGCAGCACCCTTGGGATTTCAAAATATAAAAAAATATTTTAAGACTTGTATGGTAATGTTGGNCATAAAAAAATTAATATTTTTTGAAAAAGCTGATTGTTTTGCCTGTCCTTGCTGAAGTGGTCACTTTATCATCATTGACGAACATATATTCAGTAGATATTGCTAATTTATAATGAATTGCTTGATAACCCAACGTTGCCCATGCCCAGGGCACTCATAGTTTCTCCCGCTGTTTATCCGCGCTTGGTCGTAAATTACGATTTTATTCCACTCAATTTAATATCTCAAAACCAAACTAAGGACATTCCCGTGTTTTTCCCGAGTTCCCCAATCAAAATTTGAGGCATATCGGTCCAGGAGTTCCGAAGTTATGATCGGACAAACAAACAGACAGTAAGATATACTACAACTTTATATGTATTTAGATGCAGAGGAAAAATTTCAAATAATTTAGATTTTTTTCTTTTCGTTAGTCATGTATTTAAGAGCCCAACAATGTGTTTGGTTGGAAATGGAGACTCTTTTTGAATTACATTAACAATCCCTTTAATTCTAGGTCGGAAATCTTCACACAAGAATAACAAATCTTTTTCCGGCTCCTTCATCATTTAAACTAAGGTAGAAGATAAACAATAAAAAATTTTTTATTTATTTTAACTGTATCAACGTGATGGTATAAACCTTTAATATTTCAAAATTAGATTCAGAATTCATAGTTTGAAATATCTTATGTTAACGACATTGGATTGCAAATGTATAGGGATTTGAATTTCAGAGTTTGAGGCAAAGTCTTTCCCTCTGAAGTACTCCTCCCATCGACTCCTAATAGCTGATTTTAAAACTTAAAACATTGAATCTCAATTAACCTTAAATTTTAATTGAATGCAGTAATGACCAGAAAAATGTAGTTTCTGGAAATATAATCGCCTTTGGTCATTCTTTTATGTAAAATTGTAAAATTGCGCTCTAGATTCTCAGAGGAATTGAGCCTTTGCCACAAATCTTCTAATCTCCATATATGTTCAACCCAATTTCGTAGACCTTTGATATTTCGAACCATTAATTCTGTTAGATCAAATAATTTAGGTTTGAAACATTAAAATTTCAAAATTTTATATAATTATTTACAATTACATAATTTTCATTGATTTTTCATAATTTATTAAAACACAAAGACAACAACTATTCCACTGTTTAATGGCATGCCCATTGCCCATTGTACTTATTCAATAAACATATTTTTGCTGTAGGAAAAAAATCTACGATGAATCTCTGAAGTTTATTATTGTCCGACATCCATTCGAAAGACTTGTTTCTGCATACAGGTACACTATAGGTTCAGTAGAAGTAAATTTTTCCATTTACTGATAGCGCCGATTGAAGGATTCATACCTCTAATTGGATAATGAGATAGATAGAAAGATAGACGTTACCGCCAGACTATTTCTATTGGTTCAGAATAGACAACAAACACATAACTGAACCCTGATTGGATCAGGTGCTAATGGACAGGTATACAGAAATGTGTATTTAATTATCGCTATACATCATTCTTTTATATTTTCATAATGTGATATTTCAGTTTTTGGAATATACATAAATAGAAGATTTTAATATTTAATCTTGTCTATTGCTTTAACAAGTTGACGCGGGGTGTGTGTATACCAGAGATAGCAGATTAATGTAAGCTGTTTTACATCCATGTATATTTTCTTTTCTCTGTTTTTTATATCGAATAAACGCCAAAACGGCTGAACCGATCGGGCCCAATTTTTGTGGCAACTCTCTCAATACTTTTTGAAATTTAAATTTTTGATCTTAGAAAATCCACAAATTTAACAGAAAAATTTGCCGAAAGTGTGTTGATATGGACAAGCAGCATTTAAAATCTGCTACTACTAGAAAAGAGTCAATTGTTTAACATCGGTTTCATTCTAAAGAAGTGCTATTCGAAATATAACTTCAATAAATTCTGTAAAGATTCTTTCACTTCAATTTCACATTGCTTCAAATTCAAATCTAAATTTTTCCTAGAACAAGAAATGCAAAGAAAGAACACAATGAAACCTTTTTGTTTTTGTTTTTATCACTTCAATTTAAAATTTCATTTGAATATATAAATTTAGCTTTTTTTCAGATCAATAGACAGGATTAAGTAGGTAATCAATTATCTAGGTTTATGTTTTAGAAAGAACCCCAATATCCAGGTTCATGATTTAGTAGGAATCCACTATCCAAGTTTATTATCTACTATTTAGGGATAAACTGGTCGGGTTTAGTAGGAACCCAAACTACCTAGGGATGCAAAGGTTTATAATCTACAATTTAGGGATAAACTGGCTGGGTTTAGTAGGAACCCTCACTACCTAGGGATGCGAAAGTTTATTATCTACTATTTAGGGATAAACTGGCTGGGTTTAGTAGGAACCCTCACTACCTAGGGATGCGAATGTGTATTATTTACTATTTAGGGATAAACTGGCTGGGTTTAGTAGGAACCCTCACTACCTAGGAATGCAAAGGCTTATTATCTATTATTTAGGGATAAACTGCAGGCCGGGTTTAGTACCCTCACTACCTAGGGATGCGAAGGCTTATTATCTACTATTTAGGGATAAACTGGCTGGGTTTAGTAGGAACCCTCACTACCTGGGGATGCGAAGGCTTATTATCAGTAAATACAGGAAAAATTCTGCTGACAACTCAACCATCCCAACTTTCAGGTAACAACAGTTTTTAGTTGAACAATTTTTAAAGCTAACAAAATATTCCTTGAAAATATTGAGTTAAAAAAAATTATATATATACTTTGCTTGTCAGTTTGTCCGTTTGAACCAAATAAAGGTCAAAACAGCTGAACCGATCGAGCCCAATTTATTGTGGGACCTCAGATAACCTCAGGGAAGGTTTATTCATGATCAAAATTTCAAAAATTAGCCTCAAACAAATTTCGATTGTCATCAAATTTTAAATGTCCAAGCTATTTTTGATCAAATCCGCGAACAAGAGAAAATATTCAATTGCAATAGAGGATGGACGCGAAGCGCCCTGAAAGCCTACTTATTTTTAGAATTCGTTACAACTTGACTTTACGAAACTAATTTCACTTAAAACTAATTAAAACTGATATGACAGTTTTAAAGTCTTCAGGGATAATTTTGTTCAAGAAATAGTAAAATATTTGAAAATTGCCAAAGAATTGAGACTTTGCCCCAAAATTAAATATCTTTAAGAGACCATATGGTGTAAATCTTTGTTATTTCAAACATATATTATTTGATATAACAGAATTCATAGTTTGAAATATTTAGTGTTTACGACATGGCATATATGGTCGCGTTCGGCTTCTCATTGCGTTCGTTCATCGTTTGTGAACGACCCATTTCGTTAGTTTTTTTTTTCAATAGTTCTAAGAAAATCACTTTGTTTATATTCTCTAAATTATAGTTTATTTTTCCTCTATTTCGTTCGTTTTCTCGCTGAACGATCTCTATAGTAATTACGTTCATAAAGTAAATCGTTAGTTCAGTTGAAACCATGATTGTTTCTTCAAAGGTTAGTTTGATTTTTTCGTTTTGTCCGTTCCTTCAGTAAAAAATCTGTTAGTCCAAGAATAATTTTTTCATTAATGAACTATCGTGTTTTTAAAAAATGTTGGAAAATCTGTTCGTGTATTAAAAAATATATCGTTTTTTCAAGTTCAATGAAACGATTTCAAGTCGTTCATCCATTGTTCGTTTTTTCTGAATGACACCATCTCTTACGAAAATTTCGTTCGTTCACAAAAACGATGCACATCTCTAGTTGTAGACTTGATGTGCATCTCTAGTTGTAGACCCGATGCACATCTCTAGTTGTAGACTCGATGCACATCTCTAGTTGTAGACCCGATGCATATCTCTAGTTGTAGACTCGATGCACATCTCTAGTTGTAGACTCGATGCACATCTCTAGTTGTAGACTCGATGCACATCTCTAGTTGTAGACTTGATTCACATCTCTAGTTGTAGACTCGATTCACATCTCTAGTTGTAGACTCGATCACATCTCTAGTTGTAGACTTGATTCACATCTCTAGTTGTAGACTCGATGCACATCTCTAGTTGTAGACTCGATGCACATCTCTAGTTGTTGACTCGATGCACATCTCTAGTTGTAGACTTGATTCACATCTCTAGTTGTAGACCCGATGTACATCTCTATATGGTACCAATAATATCTTAGTAAAGATGTAATAAGGGGAAATATATTTAATAATATTTTGAAAATTTGCACAGCTTGCGAATAATGGAGATAATTTTCAAAAATATCAAAAATTATACACCAAATGTGACTGTTTTTCACTTGAAAATTAAAGTTTAACATTGTTTTAGAATTATATTTTGGGCACATATTTTACTTTTAAAATTTATTTTAACTTAATCGGAATAGATTATCTATTAAATGCTTTTTATGTTTAAGAAATAAAAAAATGTTATTATCCGAAATCTCTGACTATCAAATTTTAAAGGCTTTCTGTAAACAATTTTCCAGTTCATTCAATAAAATTTTTTTATGTTTAGTCATAAACTATAATGATCCTCTAAATTTTAACAGTTTCAGTTTTGAACATTGTAAACTTTGGAATTTAGTTAAGATTATCCCACCGGGCTATCTTTAGGAAACTTTATAAAGTTATATAAGAGATCTCCGTAGAGTTGGGATTAGGTAGATTGCAAAAAAAAGTTGTTTCAGATGAATTTCAATTAAGTTGTAATCAAATACAAACTGTTTGTTTAGTTTTCAAACTAATCCAACTCTTCTGCAAACTTTGCATATATTTGATTGTTTGCTATGGAAGCTTCTTCACAGAAAATTAGAGAAAATCCGTCGTAAGCAGATCTTAAAATCCGGGAAAAACTCTTGAGCTCATTTTGATCATGCACACTCTGGAATCTTAATAGTTGCTATCAACTCCTTCTGACACAAAATTTATAAAGAAATGTGTTTCAGGTTTTAGACTTTGTCGATAAAACATTGGCATTCCAAACAGGAACAAAAACAACCAAATTAAAAAGAAACATATTATTTTAGAGAATCTGTTGATTTTGTACTGGACGAGTTGAAAGAAATGGAAAAAGGATCAAGTACAGTGAACATAGATGGACATTTTATGCCATATACGAGGTAGTATTTTCATCATTGTCGACCCACTCTCCACTAAGTTCCACCCCCCCCTCTCCTTTGTATTTTAACTAAAGGGTATCGTTACATTTTGGAAGATTTTGGGTCAAGAATGGGCCTAAACCTGGCAAATAATGGGCCTAAACCTGGCAAATAATGGGCCTACACCTGGCAAATAATAGACCTAAACCTGGCAAATAATAGACCTAAACCTGGCAAATAGTAGACCAAAACTTAGCAAATAATGGGCCTAAACCTGGAAAGTAATGGGCCGAAGCCTGGAAAATAATAAACCTAAACCTGTCAAAAAATGGGCCTACACCTGGCAAATAATAGACCTAAACTTGGCAAATAATGGACCTGAACATCGCAAAAAGTAGGCCTAAGCCTGGGAAATAATGGGCCTAATCCTGGCAAATAATGGACCTAAACCTGGCAAATAGTGGGCCTAAACCAGGTAAATAATGGGCCTAATCCTGGCAAATAATGGACCTAAACCTGGCAAATAATGGGCCTAAACCTGGCAAAGCTTTTTAAAACGTTTCCTCATATTAAGTACGGTTTTTTTCCACAATATAATTTTCTTCTCAAAATACAGTAGCAAAACAAAAAAACATAAAAACTTGATTGGAGAGAAAATGTAAAGAATTTATATAAAAATATGTCAGTCTATTTTCAAATACTATTGAAAGGTTTTTCTTTTTTCTATTCCTTGTATTTCTATCTTCGAACATTTTACAAAATAGAAAAGAATTTTTTAATCCCATTTTCTAGCAATTCATCAGTCAAGCTATTCATAAATTCATCCGTCTGTCTATTCATCCTTTCATCAGTCTATTTATTCATCAATTGATCAATCTATCTATTCGTCAGTTCATCAATCTATCTATTCAGCAATTGGTCTGACCCTCTCTTTATGTTATAAATATCTTCTATATAATAAAACAAGACATTCATATATATGTTGCCTAAAGCCAGCCAAACGGCTGGACCATATGGGCTGACATTTTTTGTGGACACTCATGGGTGGCCGGGGTGTGTCAAAGGCTTTTTTTTCAAATTAAAAAAAAATCGAAATTTTTAAAAAACATTTTTCCACGGGCAACGCCGGGCCCTTCAGCTAGTTGTATATATTAAGTATATATGTTCACCTTTAATCTAATATATGGTATTATCTTAAGCAAAGAATAGAAAATCTAGAACATTGTTAGAGAAATCTAGAAAAAACAAAGAAGAAAATAATGTAAACTTTCTTTAAAAAAATTAATGAATGCAATTTTAAGGAAGGGATGTAATTCTATTATAATAAGAGTTACTTTTAAGTATCAAAGGTTGAAGGGACCATGATGAGAATTCGAAATATTAGTATATCTAATTTGTTGCAGTTTAAAGGCACCATTGTAAATCAACCCACTCTAGCACTCTATAAATATAAGTATATCTAATTTGTCGCAGTTTAAAGGCACTATTGTAAATCAACCCACTCTAGCACTCTATAAATATAGGACGATCACTTGAAATATCAGTATATCTAATTTGTCGCAGTTTAAAGGCACTATTGTAAATCAACCCACTCTAGCACTCTATAAATACAGGCCGATCACTTGAAATTGTGTTGACTGTCTAATTGTGAAATCAACATTTATATTAATACTGTTAAATGTTTAGACGATGTCTACCCTGTGGAATGAATTACGATCTGATAATAAAATTTGAAAGTTTTGAAGAAGATTCAAATTATATTATTCAACAATGTGGTCTGGACGATATACTCAGGTAATACAATCATAATCTTGTATTTTAAGAGAAATTTAAATCAATTTAAAAATGTTGCCAATTTTATTTTCATTCCTAAGTAGCAATTCAATATTTCTCAAAACACAATTTTTATATTTTTGAAAACATATTTTTGTTTTCAAACTAAAAAAATAAGTAAACGAAATTTTTTGTTATTATTACAACGAGAAATGGATAATTATTAACAAATTTGGATTTTATTAAATTTTTAAGTTTAAAGCATTTTGCACATGAAATTCATGTTATTATACAAATTATAATTTTTCAGTGTCACTCATGAAAACCCTGCCCCTACCGGACCTAAAACTGAACAGGTCAAAATATGGACTGAGTTTTTGCCACAAACTATTTGATCTAATAGAATTCATCGTTTTAAAATCTCTATAATAAAATCTAATATTTGTCTGCAGTAATTATGAATTATAACAGTTATTAACAAAATAATAGTACATTGAATATATTTAAAACTAATGCAGCTAGAGAGATTTAATAGCAATTAGAGCTGTTTTTACCAAGCTCTGTCCTTAAGATATAAATAGTTTTTTTGAAGAAGGTTTAAAATATCAAAGGTTTGCAAACAGATAGAAAATAGAGATAAGAAAATTTGAGTTTGTGGCAAAAACTCAGTCCCTTTCCAAAAGTCTGGAAAATTTCAAGACAGTATTTGTAATTTGTTTTCGGCTATTGATTTATTTTTCATTTTCAGCTTTCTAAAAATAATTTCAACTTTATGAACTACATTTACATTCAACAGCATTATTAATTTCTATTGATAATTTTTTTTAACCTTTGATCATATGGTTTTTATTATGCAAATAGTAGTACAGAAATGGCACGAAGCATTTGAAATCTCTAATTCAATTAGAATTGTTTTGAACAAACAAATTCCCTGTAGTAGAATCATTTAAACCTTCGATTGGAAGTTTGTGCAATTTATATTTAATTTTCTTTCTCAAAACAATTTTACTTTTCCAGTCTCAATTTCTAATACTGAAACTATAAAAGAGCTTTTGTAAAGTTGAACTTATTTTTTCAGTGGTGTAGGGTGGCCAGGAGGGGTTGGGTTCGTGAAATGTTATAAACCTTTTTCTGGTTAGTCAGCTTAAACATTATAGAACATTGTACATTTGTCAATTTGAACCGTTATTTTGTTCGTCGCTTAAACGTTGTAATTTTTTTTTCATTCTAAAGAACATTTTTCAAAACTATTTTTTTGATTTTGTTGATTTTTTAGAATTTTGTATTTTTAGGGATACAAGAATAAATCTAAGAAGAAGCAGAAAAAGAAATCCGAATCTCCTGCAATAGTTGATCCTGTGATGAGTAGTGCTCTCAAAACCCTACAATATTTTGAGGTAAACAAAATCATACAATATTTTGAGGTAAACAAAATCATACAATATTTTGAGGTAAACAAAATCATACAATATTTTGAGGTATACAAAATCATACAATATTTTGAGGTAAACTAAACCCTACAATATTTAGAGGTAAACAAAACTATACAATATTTTAAGGTAAACAAAACCCTACAATATTTTATGGTAAAAAATAATGTTGTTTATGCTTTTACCGTCTTTAACCAACGTGTACACCGACCAATGATTCCCACGCTCTGCCCATTTTCACCTTAAAACTGTGTACAAATACTTTTTTCGGGAAAATTTTTACTTAACCATGAGTTCACTCAAAATAAATTTCTACGAAACATACTTAGCAACGCTCTGGATGCAAAATTGGTCTTAGAAACTAGAAAGTAATTGTAAATAATTAAAATATGTTCGATCTATTCTGAAAATGACATGAATGCTACTCTACTGAAAGCAATGGTTAATGTTTAATGAAAGTCAAATTTATTTTTATATTTATGATCATTTTAGAATACTAAAAAATGATAATTAAGCCTTTTTGCTTCAAATTACTTTTTGTTAACAATTCTAGAAATAAAATGTAAGTAAAAATTTTAACTTTGTCTATTTAATATGTCTAGTTTTTCTATTCCTTACAAGACATTCTGTTCAAAATGTCTAAAAAATGTCGTTATTGGGAATGCTTTCGTAGTGATGGGCATCGTTTTGTAAACGAGCGAAATTTTTAATGAACGAGGGTTTCGTTTGAAAAAAACGAACACTGAACGAACAACTTGGATCGTTTGGAGAAATAAAAACTTTCATTTTTCAAAATCGATATTTTCGAAAAAAAAACTTTTTAAAATACGATCTTTTGTTTTTACTGAAAGAACAATTTTATTGAACAAACGATTTTACTGCATGAACGATCTTCCTGAACAAACGATTTTACTGAAAGAACGATTGTTCAGTGAAAAATTCTAACAAAATTAATGGAAAATGAACGACATTTTTAAGAACGAACAAAATCAATTGTTTTGATCAATTGAAAAAAAAACATGAACGAAATAAGCCGTTCATGAACAATGAACGAGCGAAATGAAAAAGCTGAACGCGCCAAACTCTATAAAAGAGTTCGCTCGTTTGATATTTAACAAATGTTAGGTTTTTCTACTGTCAGTTAAGGTTCAGGAACAATTTTGAAAAATTAATGAAAGAATTTCTGTCAAAAACATTTACGTTTTCTTGATCTAACTAATGAGCAAGAATCTTGTTTTGACGTTTTTACCCTGTTTGATAGATTTTTATTTTTTGTAAGTACGCTTCGTATGAAAACATGTTTTTATAATTGTTTCTTTTTTGTTAATATCTTTTATAAAATTGTATTCTGAGTCTGTTTATTTTTTAATAAAATCACAAAGTTGATAATTTTGATACAACAAAAACGAAACAGACCAAATTAATCTTCAGATCGCTTTAAATCATGATGTTTTGGTCGCCATTAAAGTCTCATTCTTTGTGGATAACACATTATAGATTTGTAGGAGCTGAAGATTTAATTACAATTATTACAATGCCCTTTATTTTTATTACCAAATAAAAAACTTCTAAAAATTTCCGATAAATAAAATAGAGATTACCTTCTGTGTAATAAATTATATTTTTATATATTTAAATATGTTGGTTATATTTATTTTTTTCAAACAATTTTTTTATAATTAAAATATTTTCAAATTCCACGGGCAACGCCGGGAACTTCAGCTAGTAATATTTGTGATCGCAAAGTATACTAAAATACATAAATAATACGCTAAGCATCCTTTCAAACAATCAGGCCTAACATCCTGTTTTATTTTATTTTATTTGATTAAATTTTGCTTTATCTATAATTGTTTTTCTTTTTAGGAAATTCCCGTGAGCAAGATAAAGCAGTTGTACATTCATTACAAGCTGGACTTTGAAATATTCGGCTATTCCGCCGACGATTACCTTTCACGAGAAGATGAATGAATGAGATCCTAAAAATGTTTGTTTAAAGAACTGAAAACTCGGCCCAATCTCTAATTTTTGATATTTCGGGCAAAGATAAAAGCATTCAAAAATTAGATTGTGTGGCTAATGTTAAATTTCTTTATAGTGACTGGTTATAATTATATTAAAATGAGAATTTGTTGTAAATATTTTTTTCAACTTCGCTTAGAACGCATCTGTGATATAGTTTTTTATGTAAAATTTGTAATGCTTCGCTTCGTATATTCTCTACTTCCACAAAAGTCAGATCAACAAAAGTTCGTTATATTTCTTAAAAAATCCGCCAAAAAGTATAATCATTCACATCAAGCATCAGCCATCATAGAACTATTATAGACCCGGTGAGAAATATTAATATATGTTAGATGTTTGCATAATTTGTAATAATTATTAGATAGAATATATAATATACGTACTTTATTTTTCTCAAACTACGGGTTAAAGGGTTTCTTTAAATACAGGGTCGGATAAAATTTCATCTACTGCAGTCCCTTTAAATGTATAATTTCATCTACAGTCCCTATAAATGTATACTTTCATTACCAGTCCCTTTAAATGTATAATTTCATCTACAGTCCCTTTAAATGTATAATTTCATCTACAGTCCCTTTAAATGTATAATTTCATCTACAGTCCCTTTAAATGTATAATTTCATCTACAGTCCCATTACATGTATAATTTCATCTACAGTCCCTATAAATGTATAATTTCAGCTACAGTCCCTTCAAATGTATAATTTCAACTACAGTCCCTTTAAATGTATAATTTCATTAACAGTCCCTTTAAATGTATAATTTCATCTACAGTCCCTTTAAATGTATAATTTCATCTACAGTCCCTTTAAATGTATAATTTCATCTACAGTCCCTAAGCTGAAATTATTTGTTACGCCGAAAGAAAGACATTTGGAGAAATATTTCTGGAGTAAACTTAGTTCGTTATGCGGTAATCTTAGATTAAATAATTATAAATACAAAAAAGGTAACGCTCAAATCAAAGATTGTAAAAGATGAAATGATAAACCTCTTATCCTGCTTTTTGTCGAAAACTTAAAACATGACATAAGTTTAAATTCTGTAACACTCTGGCTCATTACTGTACAAAGGAGGCTCTAATGCTGCATAGCGGAGGCTCATGGCGGCCGGGGGTTACCCCCCTCATCGTAACAGATTTGCATACAATTAAACCATATCACATAAACTATGTATTATTGGCTTTTAATCAAATAAATACAAGCTCATTTCTAAACAGTACAAATCTTCAACTAATCATAACATTTACAACTTGACAGGCTTGGTTAACAAATATAGGATGGGGCTAAAAAAACGTTTTGACGCAAGACTTTCCTCTTTACAATGACTCCATTACAAAGTACTAAATATCCTTGTAACAGCGCTTGGCCCCATAAATCTGTCCTAGCCACGGCGCTCGGCTCGGACAAGAAAATTTCTTTAAAAAATGATGTGCTTGAAATGTTTTGGCTTGACACTAGGATTTGCAGCTAAAAGGAAAAATCGTTTCGAAAAAATTTCGCATTTTTCGCGAAAATTTTCGCATTTGTTCGCATTTTCGAAAATTTTCGAAAAAAATTGTCAGCAAAAACTTTTGCATTTGTTCGCATATGCGAAAATTTTCGCTTTTTTAAAGAAATTTTACTTCAGTCTGTTTCGCGAAAAAATGCGGAAATTCAGAATTTAGAAATAAAAATGCAAATTATTTGCTAACATTCATCAAAAAAGATAAAATACAGATTCAACAATCAAAACGAAAATTTGCGAAATTGGAATTTTTCGGGGACATTTTTTTCGTGAAATTCTGCTTCATTTCCGCGGTAAAATGCAAAATTTTGTGAAAAAAGAACAAAAATTTTCGCATTTTTTCGCGAAACGTTTCGTTCGCTGAAAACCATACTTGACACAAAACTTGTCATGGGAAAACATTTTTGTGAGAATATTTTTAAAATGTTATTTCTCTCAATATCCATATAAAGTCATGATCAAGTTTTAGTCAGCATTTACAGGGTTATCCACAAAATAAAAGACTTTTTAATGACGACATGCAAATTGGATTTAATAATCTCAAATTTGAATAATTTACAGTTTTTCTTCTGAAGTTTTGCATCTGCATTGATTATAATCTTTATAATAAAAGTATTCAAGGTTGGACAAAAAATGAAATAAGTTTACAATTGCATATTGGACTACTATCTAAGATAAAATACTGATACATTCATAAAGGGACTGTAAGCGTAATTTCAAGTGACCGTCCATGCAAAGATTACAATGCCCGATTTTCGAAATTAACCTTGAAACTTTAATTTGATTAAAACTGTGGAAGATACCATAGTTTTCTGACTCGAAAACTGTTTATTTCTGTATGTTTCTCTGATGCTTCTTATCAGCAAGAAATGCGCAGGACACTTTTGCAAATAATTATGTTTAATGAAACAAAAACAATCATATTTAGTTTAAACTTTTTTATGGGTACCGTTGTGAATCAGACGTTGCCATCTTTGCAGAAACGATCACTTGAAAATACGCTTTACAGTTCCTTTTATTCTTAGTGGAAAACCCTGTAACTCGAATGTTACATTGCTATGTAATATTAACTTCAAAGGATAACAATCATTTTTAAAATCATTTTTTCTATATTTAACGATGATAACTTGTATAATTATTTACTTCTGGGCTTTGGCTTTCTAACACATTATGTGGACGACAAGGTAGAATTTATTACTTCATTTAGTTGGTATTATTTGACTGGAAAAATACAATTATTATTTTTGTCAGTTTTCATATAAAATACACATGGTATATATCAACTAAAGAGGTTTTTGGTTGATACATAATTTGGCCTAGGAGTTTTGGTTCAAAATGCCAAAATATGTGACATTGGACTGAAAAGTACGGCACAGCTTTAAAAATTGCTTAGCTTAGGTCCAAAAAAACTAACAAATTTAAATATATGAATTCTGATGAAAAGTATTTTTTAGGCAAAATTGCAAATGCATAACTGGGCCACCTTGATTATTACTTTAAACATGTTTATACATGTTTTATACACACTGAGCTGAAAACTTTAGAATGGTGGATATCAGGATTAAGGCTTAAACCGCTCTTTTTCTTAATATCCAGTTTAAATATTGCTTGTTCTCCACGTAAATTTAAACTCCAGAGAAGCAAAATGATCAGACAATTGGATATTTCATTCTAAAGTTTTCAGCTCTGATCATACTAATTACAAATGGTAAATAAAGCAGTCTTCTAGAAGGAATTAATCTCTGAATGTGTCTGCTGAGTTTGTTTTTGGAGTGGCAAATTCTTGAAAATTTAAGAGAAATCAGTAAGCTATTATTTTGAAAGTACATATTTTTTCTTTTTCTTTCAATACACTTTATAATAATGCTTCATATAAAGCTGACTTTGATTGTTTGATTTGGAGTTTTCAGATCTTTAAGCATCAGCTACCGTTCTCAATTCAAAATCCAGTCTACAATCTGAAATTAGCATAAAATATGACTCCTGAGTAAAAAATAGGAATTGTATTGTTACTCACAAATCTAAAAAAATGTTGTTTAGATTTAAAAAAAAAAGCTGCAAAATATCTTTTCAAATTTTATTTCTATTTCTTCATTAAAAGGATATTCCTAAGTTTCCTATGCTATATATATACTTTGCTTATCTGTCTATCAGAATGTTTGTTTCCAACATTAACGTTAAAACGGCTGAACCGATCTGACCTTGCACATGCACATGACCCCAAGGAAGGTTTATGGATGTTCAGAAGAACAAAACTATATCTCCAAAAAAATTTTATTTACGAAAAAAAATTTAAACCCACGAAAAAATTTACTTAAATCCGCGAAATTTTGTTTGTTTTAGTTTTATATTGTACACACAAAGAAGATGCTGACAGATAATTCACAATTAAAAGTTAAATATTAAATGTTTTTAATCATAACTCCTTTTATTGATAAACTATTGAGACAAAAACCATGCTTTAAAATCATATTTACGTGTAAACGAGGTCACAAAGTCCTACCAGTAATATATAACTTTAACCTGCTCCTTCTGTGTAGGTCAGTGTGAAACTTGAACCAAGAATAAAATGTTCATGTTGCCCGAAAAAGCTTTTTTCTTTCAAAACATGATTCCAGTGTAATAAAAGGTCTATGCAACTTTATATTTTTGTTGACATTGATAAAAGATATTTTGAAACTTGATTTCAAGCTTCGTGCATTTCAATATAATTTTCAATGGAAAATGTTCAAAATATATTTTCAATTTCAAAATAAATGAATAAATCCAGATTTTTTGGTTTATTATAAAAACAGTAGAATATCACCAAAAAGTCTTGATTTTCTATCTATTTTGGTCTGAAATGCCCGCATGTAATTTTGTGTTTTGTTTAAATATATTAAAACTTTAAAACTAATTCTTAACCAGTAAAACTCTCAATTTCTCGAATTCACTCGAATTCACTCAAATTTCACTCACATTTCTTTATTATTTACTTTTTACCTGTAGCGTATTCAACAACTTGTCAAGGGGGTGGGCTTAACATTTTTTTTCTGTGAAGGGGGGGGGGCTCAGCACCTAGCGGGGCCCCCAAACCCCCTGAAAACTATAGACATCACTTACCAAGTACCAAGTACCTGAATACGCCGCTGCTTATTACCTGTGGTATATATTGGTACTGTTAGCCCAATGGAGTTTTACTCAACGACATGTTCATTCTAAAAAAAAAAGTTTTAAAACAATTTCAAAAATCGAGATTATTTTCAGTAAATCTTTTTTTCAACACACGTTTCCATGTAAACGTTTATCTAGATCTTGAAGAAACCTTTTTTTCAACACACGTTTCCATGTAGACGTTTATCTAGATCTAACACACGTTTCCATGTAAACGTTTATCTAGATCTTGAAGAAACCTTTTTTTCAACACACGTTTCCATGTAGACGTTTATCTAGATCTTGAAGAAACCTTTTTTTCAACACATGTTTCCATGTAGACGTTTATCTAGATCTTGAAGAAACCTTTTTTCAACACACGTTTCCATGTAGACGTTTATCTAGATCTTGAAGAAACCTTTTTTTATGGTGTTGGTATTAGTATTGGTGTTTATAGTCTACGGCATTAAAAAGCATCTTTATCATTATTTGATTATCATTGATTATCTTAAATTGTTTAATTTCTATTTATTCTCCCAATCATGAAAAAATGGTTCCTAGATAGAATGAGAAAACAAACTCTATAGAATTCTACAGAAAGTCCAATACTCTAATTTTATTTCCTATCTCTTCGGCTTCATTATCTATCTATCTATTTATCTATCTATCTATAAATATCTATTTATCTATATATATAAAGTAGTAATCTCTGTTTGCATGTATTTCCGATCATTACTCATGAACACCTGGACCGGTTTATCTTTAGTTTTGATTGGAGAATGTTCTCAGCATGTTTGAAACTTCTAAATTCTTGGGTTGAATTTTTTAGACAAAGTTTAATTAACAAGCAAAGCTTGAATCCTAAGCTAGTTAATATCTATAGATAGCAGTGATATCTGTTTGTCTCTCCGATCCTAACTCATGAACCACGCGCCCTTTAAATTAATCCCCTTACTCCTGTACTCGTATACTAAAGGATTTGTTAAACTCTTACAAAAATAGATTTTTAATATTGTTTTGTCCAAATTAATTTGAAGATTTATAATTTGATTTTAAAATAGAAATGGAAATTCAAAGCCTAAGCTGACAAAATTATCCAAAAATATTCTTGCCAATTTTAAAAATGCTATTCACGATTAAACGGTCTAAATTTAGAAAATTGAGAAAATTGAGAAAATTAAACAAATTGAACAAATTGAACAAATTGAACAAATTGAACAAATGGAAAGGAATTAAACAATAATTATAGAAATATATAGAAAAGTAAAGTCATTAAAAATCTATACAGTAATTACCAGAAAATTTTGAAATAGGAAGACGACTTTTAGAGTCAATTTATGAATTTAGATAGTTCAATTGAGTTACAGCATCTGAGCGGTGTAAGCAGACTCATTTCACTTAAAAAGTGATTTTATAAGTATCTACTAAAGATATTTGCTTTTTAACAACATCGAATGCACCTAGGTATTGCTATAATTCCTATTCCATTTTTTTCTGGTTCTCCATGTGCTTTATACTAAAAATGCCAATATTTTTGGAAACATTTGTTACTTATTACCCGACCGAACGAACATAACGAATTTGTGTTCAAGTATTGAATCTGATTTCGACATTAAAATAACGGTGTTCGTTACTTTCCCAAGGCATTAATTCCCGAGGGCGACTTCCTATGAGACAATTTCCCAAGTGGCAACTTCCCAAGCTGGAACTTCCCAAAGATTAGGTTAGTCCCTCTGAGGCGCCGGTGGCTGTAATGGCGGCTGAGCGCTGCGGTAGGATGGGCTAGGGGGCCGAGCGCTGCGGTGATATTATGCTGGGGCCTAGCGCTGCGGCTAGGACAGACTTGGGAAGTTGTCGTTTGGGAAGCTGTACATACAGTTAGGAAGTTGGCACTTGGGGAAATACCTTTGGTAAGTTCGCACTTGGGAAAAATCCATTGGGAAAGTACATAACATCCAAATAACAAATATTGATTGCATGAAAATCAATATTCTGAAGCTACGTATGCAATTACCACTTGAAAAAGGGAGGCGCAAAGCTCTCTAAAAGCCTTGTGATATAAAACATAAGAATGCCTACCTATTAGAATTAGAATTCTCAATATTTCTTTCTTTCATCATAGAATAGTTGCTGACTGCTGAATAGTTGCCAGGCTCGTACTAAACAACATAAATACATTATTATTCAAAATAAATAAAAGGAAATGATACGTTGCCTCAAACTCTGATTTTCTAATCCTTTATCTTTGCAACCCGATTTCGTAGATATTTCAAATGAAATCTGTTAGATCAATTTAGTAAAGTTTGAAATATTAAAGGTTTACACCAGCAGGTTTAAAATAAAAAGAGATTAGAAAATTTGAGTTTGTGACTCAATTCCTCTACTTCACATACATAAGTGAAATTGATTATTTCTCCTAATAAAAAAGGCAAAACCAAATCACATGGTCTCTCTTTGGTCTTTACATGTTTTGTAATTTTTATTAAATAATGGAACTAAATAACCATGTCCGGAGAAGCACCACCTCTTTTTAAAAAAATAGCGACATTTATTCTCAATAAAAATATCATTGATGTAATGAATATAAAAAATCGTACTTTCATAATAACTTGAAATGCAGTGTAGATGAACAAAAGAAAGCAGATGTTATGCCAAAGTAAAACAGGGGTGTATATTTTCTCGAAAAATTATTTATTTCCCCCCCCCCCCTTTGAAAATAATTTTTCCCAAGAATTTACTTTTTTGAGGCTTTTATTTGCTGAAAAAAAAGATTTTTACGGGAAAATAAATTAATTTTTGTGTTTTAAGAAACAAAAATTATGAAAAAAACGTGCCTTTCGATGTTCGATTTTTCATTCCCCCCCCATCCCCCTAATCATGGAAAATCATTTTTTCCTTTGGGGGGTTGGTGGGGGGGGGGGGGAATTCTGAAAAATATAAACCCCTGTAAGTAAAGAGAAAAACTAGGTTTTATCAAGATGAAAAACATTAAGTTTAAAATGAAATTACCTCTGTAGAGTTGAATTCAGTTGAAGTTTGGTTCAACTTTTCTCTTACTAAAACAAACAAACAACATTTAATTTAAAGAAAATTTGAAAGATTTTAGGAGTTTAAAAAATCCAACTTTAGAAGAATGGAAATAAAGCATGATACATGTGACACAACATTATACTTTAACTAGATCACTTATTATTTGGTACGGTTTAGTAATTTTATTTATGTATATTTAAAACTAATTTTTATATTTCTTAATAAGATATTTTTATTATATATCTACTTATTCAAAAATGATACAGGTTTTGATCTTTTTATTGTTAGATGGCGATTGCAAAAGAAGAATTATCTCTTACAATGGAAGACAATTTCTGAGATACTAAGAACTATAACGGAATTAACAGCGTAACTCTAACTCTGAATGGATTGAGTGAAGTCCTAAAAACTAGATAGATAGACAGACTTTAATGAATAAATTGATAGGCTAGTTTTGTAACTTAGAAACGAACACTCTAAGATTATATTTTCACAATTGTTAGAAAGGCCTAAGGTTGTATAAATATACGAATTAGAAAATGGTTAAAATTTTATTTCCATTTTAGCTGGAAAAAACGTCCATTTGTCTGCATTTTTTCATAATACTTAACTCAAGTTATAGACCCAAGTTTCAAAAGAAAGAATAAATGTCCATCTCCTATATCCAGTATATGAGAGCTGGTTGGGAGAAAGTAAATAGAAAAACACTTTTGATTTCAGATATTTGTTTTCTCAACATATTGAATATCTGTATACAGAGTCTGGGATTCATTGAAGTACTGTCGGAGGCCCCCCCCTGTCATATCATTAGATGTCCCCATTGGAGAGGAGAACTTTAAATCTGTGACCCTCGAATATTATCATTTTGGGTCTGTGCATACTACACAATTGGTATTTATTATCATTGAACTACTTAAAATCATAACTTGAGCCCAACAGTCGTCTTTATATTCCACAGTTTAATGAGTCTCACTCTCACTGTATTAAAATACTTTTATTATTTTCTAGGGAGACTATCGCATAAAAAATGGGTGTCATCGATGAAAACTTTGAGGGGCTTCATTGAAAATCTGGGGGTCTCCGATGAGAGAGATGAGATCTCTCATACGGAAAAGAAAGAAATTACGTTCTACACTGCAAACCAAGATGTAAACGCTCTCACACAAAAATTGACCAGTATTTTGCCAATAACTCATTTTAAACTTAAGCTAGAAACAAGTGCATTGCATTTTTAAAATGTATATATCTAGGGCTACAAAAAAGCATAATTAAGCTGGTGAGGTAAACCAAATTCCTAGGCGTTGCGACATTTTAAAATCGAGGATATATAAAATTTGATAACTGTAAGTTTCAGAATTGTCTAAATCTCAGTGTCTGTTTAATGTAAAGGGATTTTAATATTAATTTTTATTTAAATATATATTGTTTATATATGTATATATAAATATATTTTTATAAAAATTCTCTTCGCTCATATATATTTGTTTGTATATATGTTAGCTATAGCTGGCCAAACGGCTCGCCCGAATGGGCTGAAGTTTGTTGAGGGAATCCAAAGAATATATAGTCTAAAAAATGTCGACATTTTTAAAAACTATTTCAAATTTTTTTAATATTTAAAAACTAAATTTTCCACGGGCAACGCAGGACACTTTAGATTAGTTTATATATATATTATAAAATTTTATTTTGGTTGAGGGTTCTGTAGTCTGAATTATTAAAGACCAATCCCAGTCTAATCTAAACTCTTCTAAACCATCTCAGACAAAACTTGGACAGTTTTATTGAAAGATATAATGTCCTACATTAGAACCACACTCACACAATAAATAAAGTTTACTAACCCTTGCAAAATAATAACTTTATATTTGATATATTTTTTAATAAAATTTTACTTTTAAAAGATAAAAGCAAAATTGAAAGGTTCTCATTTTCAGATTTCTTTATATTGCAAAATATGCAAAAAAGAATATTCTTGCTAAAAATACGTCAAGATATTAAATAATGGAAAGTCATATTTAATTGAGTGATTTAATATGAAGAATATGAATTTCTGACATCGTTAAGGATTTTGAGTGTCTGAATGAGTGTTATTTTCTAAAAAATTAACATAAAAAGTCCCCCCCCCCCTCCCTTGAAATACCCGATTACTTATTTTACTTTAATTTAAGATTTAATTTTAAAATCCCTTAAAAGCAAGTTGTGAACTCACCAAATACTCGTTCTATTACTGGAGACATGAGAAAGGATAAAGTTACTAAAGAAGCTGCTAGGAGCAGGAAGGTTAGAGCTCCACTTGTTACTGGATTAATTCCCTACACTGTTAAATATAGTTCAACTACCCCTCTACACTACCTGATGGTTCCTTTTGTTAGTGTGTATTATTAAACTAAAACGCTTCATCCCAGGATTCATCCCCCATGGGTCTATAGTCCTGGACTAATCAAATACATCCCCCTGGGTCCATATTCTTGGACTAATCAAATAATACCCCATGGGTCTATAATTCTGGACTAATCAAATACATCCCTCCTGGGTTCATAGTCCTGGACTAACCAAATACAGCCCCCCGGGTCCATATTCCTGGACTAATAAAATACATCCCTCCTGGGTCCTTTAGTCATGGACTAATCAAATACATCCCTCCTGGGTCTATATTCCTGGACTAATCAAATACATCCCGCCTGGGTCCATAGTCCTGGACTAATCAAATACATCCCTCCTGGGTCCATATTCCTGGACTAATCAAATACATCTCTCCTGGGTCCATATTCCTGGAAATACATCCCTCCTGGGTTCATATTCCTGGACTAATCAAATACATCTCTCCTGGGTCCATATTCCTGGACTAATCAAATACATCCCCCCTGGGTCCATAGTCCTGGACTAATCAAATACATCCCTCCTGGGTCCATAGTCCTGGACTAATCAAATACATCCCTCCTGGGTCCATAGTCCTGGACTAATCAAATACATCCCTCCTGGGTCCATATTCCTGGACTAATCAAATACATCCCTCCTGGGTCCATAGTCCTGGACTAATCAAATACATCCCTCATGGGTCCATAGTCCTGGACTAATCAAATACATCCCTCCTGGGTCCATATTCCTGGACTAATCAAATACATCCCTCATGGGTCCATAGTCCTGGAATAATCAAATACATCCCTCATGGGTCCATAGTCCTGGACTAATGAAATACATCCCTCATGGGTCCATAGTCCTGGACTAATGAAATACATCCCTCCTGGGTCTATAGTCCTAGACTAATCAAATACATCCCTCCCGGGTCTATAGTCCTAGGCTAATCAAATACATCCTCCTGGGTCCATAGTCCTGGACTAACCAAATACATCCCTCCTGGGTTCATATTCTTGGACTAATCAAATACATCCCTACTGGGTCTATAGTCCTAGACTAATCAAATACATCCCTCCTGGGTCCATAGTCCTGGACTAATCAAATACATCCCTCCCGGGTCTATAGTCCTAGACTAATCAAATACATCCCTCATGGGTCCATAGTCCTGGACTAATGAAATACATCCCTCCTGGGTCTATAGTCCTGGACTAATCAAATACATCCCTCATGGGTCCATAGTCCTGGACTAATCAAATATATCCCTCATGGGTCCATAGTCCTGGACTAATGAAATACATCCCTCCTGGGTTCATATTCTTGGACTAATCAAATACATCCCTCCTGGATCTATAGTCCTAGACTAATCAAATAATCCCTCCTGGGTCTATAGTCCTGGACTAATCAAATATATCCCTCCCGGGTCTATAGTCCTGGACTAATCAAATACATCCCTCCCGGGTCTATAGTCCTGGACTAATCAAATACATCCCTCCAGGGTCTATAGTCCTGGACTAATCAAATACATCCCTCCTGGGTCCATAGTCCTGGACTTATCAAATACATCCCTCCTGGGTCTATAGTCCTGGACTTATCAAATACATCCCTCCTGGGACTATAGTCCTGGACTAATCAATTAATAATGAACTCGATTAAGAGTTTGTTTGCCTATTTCTCTGAAACTAACATCAAAGTTTAGTATAAACTATAAAGGAAGGAAAATTAAATATTGATTTTTAATTTCAATATGCCTATATCCCTACTCCCCTAGTCTCTAGATTTTCTATCCAAACTTCGAGAAATCTCCTAAGATAATCGTTTCTAAATCTTCTAAATCATGAATGAAAATAAATGGAAGAGGTGGGGGGGTAAATATCGACATTTTCCTTAAGAAAGTGAGAAAAAATTCACTGTTAACAACATGAAATACACAACAGCTTGGTAAAATGTCGTCTTCCTTTTCCACGATAATATGGGTCATATATTCTTGGCAACCTTTGTTATCAACTAAAGATTATTTTTATGATATTTCTAATCATGGCTCCATCATTACTTTGTAATCTTTATAGCGTGCTTGACAGCATATTGTGATTTTGATTATAATTATAGTTAATTTATATAAATAAGAGAAATTTAAATTATATAAAAATGGGGGCCGNTTTAGTATGAAACAGATACCATAATATTTTGGTAATTCTTCAAAATTTCTACTTAAATCCAAATTATTGTTCAATAATTTAGGATTGGATTTAATCAAGCGTACTAATCCTTTATAATTTGTTTCAAGCATCTCAATTTTCCATTTTCTTTAACAATTTTCCTGATAAGAAATCCGCAAATTGCCTTTGATTATGCTGTTGAATACAGCAACTAATGCGGGCCTGAACTCTGAAGTACTTCAAAGCTATTCTAAATCTTGGAAACCAAAGAGAATATATTCTCTTAAATGATTCTATATTCAGAATATTCTGAATATTTCCCTCTGTATATTATATCATCAACAGTGGTAGAATTTTTCCTATAAAAGTAGCAATTTGTCTTTTCTCCTCTTCTTTAGGAGATAATTCGTAAGCATTGATTGATGCTAGTTCAAGGGATAGAGAGGTGGGTCGAGGTATAGTTTCAGATAATCCAGTTAGATCTAGACTGGACTGCTTTTCCCCACTGTAATATTTATTTTGAAAACTTTAAAAATATATAAATTTTTAACCAATTTTTTAAAAATTTTCTTCAATGTTCTTTTTTAACAATTTCCTGTTTTTCCTTTAAACATTTCCCCCACACCTTTTCAATTAAATAAGTTGAAAGGGTAATGTTGTGAATTAGGCAAATCTCTCATTTTTTTTTAAATGTAGGGTCACAAAAATTCTCAAATTAAGTTTGTAAGATTTTTTAATTTTCTAGCCCGGCACTAAGCCCCCCTCAGAGTTATATTATAACCTCATAAAACTTGAACCTAGACAAAGGGCATTGTAATAAAGTATTTGTATCAAGGAATGATGCAACTAAAGTTTTCAAATAATTTCCTAAAGAACCGGCTGTCATTGGCAACATCCTCTTCATCCCTAAGAGAGCTTGGATTTAAAGAAACCGATTTCCCGATTAAACCCAGTTTCTGTCTCCTCGTATACCCTGATGGAGATAATCCTCGCCGTGAGCCTCTGCCTCCCCGTCTCCCGTCCTCTGAGAGAAGGACATAAGAACCTCTCCTACTTGAGCTGAGAAGTTGAGAGACACTGATATCCTGAGTCGAAACAACACAATCCATCCGTCGTATTTTAGAACCAGGAGACTCTGCTGGCAGATAAAAGGAGGTTGTAGAGCAAGCTCTTCTCCTTCCACTATCAAGAGAATTAAGAGCTTGATGCTGTTCTCGTTTCCAGGACTCAACCACACCTTCAGTAGGCCAGATGTAGTTAGAGTAAATCTATAAAACAAAACCGTACATTAATTAACAATAACAGATAGGACACTAGATGTCGTCTTTTCAAGATTTATTCAACGCTGCCTGCGCGGTACTTTTGCAGAGAAACCGCAAATGGAAATACCGGTTTAAAAAAAAAAAAAAACATGAATATCTAATTCATGATCAGACAAAGCTATAAAGGGTTCCGCTGTAAATTGGGTATTACCATTTTTACTTAAAATTACGCTTACATTCCCTAAAATATGCTTTTCTGAATTAGTAAAATTGAACAGTATTTTCTTTTCTCTATCCCCCCCTCCACCCCACGCTCACATAATCCAATTAGTTCTAATAGAACCATCTACTTTTAAAACCTGACATTTTCTATTTCAAACAAAACTAATTAAAACAAACAATTTCACATTTAGGTCACAAAGGTCACATTTATTTTAAATAAATCGATTTGGTGTATCCCCTAAATAAAGATTTATCCCTTGATGTAGCTTGTGAAATTTTAACAAAATAAGAAAAACAAAATTTATTCCATATTTAGTGAACCCTGATTTAAAGAGTTCCATGCCCGTATCACAACGGAGCCCTTATCTGAGCAACAATGTTGAAGATATCTTCGTTTTTCTATTCAACACTTTTGCATTCTGTAAATGTTACCGGCATTCTGTAAAAGTGACCGGCAGTTTATTCTGTAAGGTAGTTGAACTGGGAAGGAAGTATTGTGGAGAATTTTTTTTTTTTGATTCATTTGCGGCATATTAAACGTTTAAATGCTGTAAAATTATTAAGTTTAAGCGCAAAGTCAACTTTAAAAATAATCCATTTGTGTGGTTACGTATTGAAAATATATTTTTTTAAATTATGAAAAAATGACGACAAAAATGTAACAGAAATTCTGAAAGTAACTAATTATTTGTTTAGAATAGAATATAAAAATTAATTCTTTTCATCGAAAAAAGTAATCTTATTCAGTTATTAGTTTCTGTAATCTCTCATTTTTCGCAAACATTTTCTGTAGATTTTCTAGAATTTTTATTGAAAAGACGACAATTGAAGAATTTGCAGATACATGAGAACAAATTCATTTATAGAAAATTAGAAATTCAATATAATGATAAAAAGATTAATTGATTCTAACATTGAGTTTTTGACATATATCTATTGAGAGATATTGGTTCCTAAACATCCAATGAGTTTACTGAGGAATTTTTGATACTTTTTTCGTCGTCGTTATTTAATAACTTTTAAAAAATTGATTCTCAAAACGTAACCCCCCAAATTGATAATTTTGAACGTCGACTTATACATAACTAAGACAATTTATATGTCTCAAATAAATCCTGAAAAGTTTCTCTGCAATACTACATTCTCAGTTCAACTACCATAGATTGCCGGCCACTCCCTTTAAATCCACTTTTATAGAAAACCAACAAATATAATTTCATTCCGTAATTTATAAAAAAGAAATTTAAGACGAACCTGATGATCCGGACTATTTACTTGTCTTTGTATTTGTCTGATGTAACAAAGAATATAAAAATATTTTGCAAAAAAGTAGAAAAAGTTACAGTTGTTGAAATACAACTTCACGTTGACGTTAATTCAATTCAAATCGAAGTAAACGTGAAATTGAAAATCCTTTTAATTTCCAAGTTTGTCTCTGAATGTAAAACTTTTATATTCTTTCCTCAAAATCTTCTGAATTTTTAATCCTTCTTTTATTTCAGTTTCTGGCACCATTGACTCGTCAGCTGTTGCCAGACATGTATAGCTTATTCTGTCAAAGAGAATGGTCATTTTATTTCACTAAATTTTTATTTCCATTTTTGTATATTTGAAACACAACTTAGCCCTTCTTAAAGATCAGTGTCACTTAGAGCCAGAATGCTAGCTACAGTCTTTAAGAGAAGAAATCATAGGCACAGAAAACGAGATACTTTAAAATTCTTAGACATTTTCCGTACATTGACTTTAAAATATTAGTACAATAGTTGTGATATTTATTTATCTTTTCTACTTAATATCGAAATCAAACATATTTTTGTTTAAATCCACAAAAGTTACTTTTACAAGAGTCATTTTGTGTTTCATCGTCCAGGTACATTTTAAAACGGCCAAAACAAAATTTTGATTCAAGCTCATAAATTTTTAAGTCATAAATTACTAAATTGGACAAAATAAACATCCTGAGACCAGATTTAATGAAAAGAGAAACGGCTGAACTACTTAGATTGAACCACTTATTTTTATCTTAATTAGGCTTAGAAGAGAACTGGTTGAATTGGCTAGTACATGGTTAAACTACTTCTCACTATTCATAAAAATAAAAATAAAAAATAAAAATAAAAATAACAAAAAAAATAATAAATTTTCATTGTTTCATAAAATATATATGTGTATTTCAATATCTATACTTTTTTTGCTGTATCATAAAAATCTACTATTTTACTTTTGTGTACGAAATAAATCTATAAATAATAATAATATTTCTAATTATAAATGTAAAATGTGTAAAATGTCAGATTTAAATAAACTAAAATAATAATTCCGGTGCTAAATTTAAAATGTGTAATATGTCAGATTTCAATAAACTAGAATAATAATTCCTTTGATAAATGTAAAATGTGTAAAATGTCAGACTTAAATAAACTAAAATAATAATTCCATTGATAAATGTAAAATGTGTAAAATGTCAGACTTAAATAAACTAAAATAATAATTCCTTTGATAAATGTAAAATGTGTAAAATGTCAGATTTAAATAAACTAAAATAATAATTCCGGTGCTAAATATAAAATGTGTAAAATGTCAGATTTAGATAAACTAAAATAATAATTCCGTTGATAAATGTAAAATGTGTAAACTGTCAGATTTAAATAAACTAAAACAATAATTCCGTTGATAAATGTAAAATGTGTAAAATGTCAGATTTAAATAAACTAGAATAACTACCTAGCATCATCTTTACACCTAGTCTGTGTAGGGACTGGACTCAAACATCTAAACTTGTATATTCTTCAAATATAGTTTCTTGCTTTCAAGATTTTTTTAACGTAAACTAAATGACATTCAGAACTATTTTAAGGGTGACTGATTTGTGAATTTCACAATCGTCCATACGGTTAATAATTGATGATTTAATGTCGGAGAAATTACCATATAGGCCTCAAAATTTTCTTGAAAATTATATGCTGAATTCAAATCTTAAAAGCGCTTTAAAAAATTGAAATTTGAATGAATGAGAGCCAGAAAACTCATACAGTTCATATTTGATCAGACAAAGCTTTTGAGAGTACCATTGTGAATCCTGTGGCTGTATTGCGTATAAATACAATTGCGTAGATTTTGTAAATCCTGNAAACTACAATGTAGACTTAAATTGAATTTCTCCTGTGAACATTTTTCTCTACATATTCAGTGTAAAAGAGGTAGCAAGTCAGAAACTGGAAATGTAATTATAAACTAAAACAAGAAAAATAGTTTTAAATTTGTATATTTTATACAGTTGAAGATACTTAACATCTAAATGACACATTATATTACACTTTTGGAATAACGGCTTAAACTTTTTATTTATTTTCTACAATATTTTCTACCATATTTTCTACCATATTTTTATGATCTTCAAATCTGAGTTCAAAATAAAATGTTCAGGAAATAAAAAATATATATATTTCATCTTTTTCTGTCATCGAATTTAGACTTTAAGAAATGAATGAATAAATTTTCTTTTTCTTTTTTTTAGAATTTAATTTTATACAAAAAAGAGCTAATATCTGAAACCTTTTAATTTAGCATTATTTATTTTCTCTTCTATCTAAATATATAAGAAAAATGTTCATACACAGAAGTTGGTGTAAACTTGTTTATTGGTTAGAATGGGAAAATATTTTGAAAACTATATTTTTTATAACAATAGCTAATCAGAAAAAGTAGTTTCATTTGCACTCCACTCTAAAAAGTGCATGATCCGTGCCGGTACAATACGTATTGTATATGCATTCAGTTGTACTGTCCAGTCTGATTACCCAAACAAATTCAGCCTGGAAACCCAGTGTTTGAAAACTAAAATTAAAATGGAATAGGAATTACCGGCTTGAGAATCCTGATTTAACCGGTTACTCATAGCTACATCCGCCATTTACCCGCACTTTGTCTTAAATTAAGATTTTAACTATTTTTAGTGGATCCATTCAACTTAATATCTCAACATCAAACTAAGAACATTTCTGTGATTCTCCCGAGTTCTCAAATTAAAATATGAGGCAAATTGGTAAAGGGGTTCAAGAGTTATGATCGGACATACAAACAGAAATTACAACTTTAATTATATAGATGATAACAAGAATATATTATGTCCCTGTCTGGTACAGCAACACTGGCTCCTCTTGTCAACTTGTATTTTGATGCTAGATTAGATTTAACTGGTGATGAACTAGTGGACTGAGAGGGGATAGGTTTCCCAGCCTTTACAAATATGGAAGCCTCGGGTGCAGGAGATATTATTTCAAGTCCAGATATATCTCGAGAGGGAGGTCCCCTGGGAGAAGGACCTGAATACCATTTAATCATGCAATCTACAGGGTGTTGCAAAAAACCTTATCATAAATAAAAAAATCTTATATTTTTGATCATGAATAATTGTATTCCACTTACGTTCCAGACCCAGTTCCAAGGTTGTATAATAATTGTTGCTAACTTTTGATGTGATCCAATGTACTGAAAATATCGTCTTCCTAACATAGATAGATAAATCCGTATAGGACTTCATTGAAGACGACATGTCCCGTACATTGGAGCGCATTGAGAGTAAGCTATCTTATCATAAAACCTTGCCCAGGTCAGATAACAAGAACAAAATTGAACTCTTGCCATAAACTCAATTTTTTTAATCCCTTTGACCTTGCAAACCTTTGATATTTCAAACTTTTACTATTTGGCATAAACAGTTTGAAATATCATAGGTCTGCGACATATCAAGTACAAAATCATATAAGAATTATAAATTTTGAAGCTCGTAAACATACAACTAAACTGTTTTAATGTCTTCTCTAAATTGCCAAGTTTATTGGGAAACCCTGTAGTACAATGGCCATTCAGCCAATGCACGAATCAGTTTATTTTGCAAACTGCAAAACCTTTACATTTATTTTCCTTAGATTTGCGGTATTGGATGATTTTCTTTAAATCAATTTAAAATGAATTGTAAAGAAATAAAACCTTGAATTTGACTTGATTTTGATACTATTTTCTTCACTCATATATGTTGATAGTTATCAAAGACAAGTGTTCAGTAAACTGTCAATTTTTATTTTTGGTGCAATGGCATTAAATAGCAAATCATGCGACAATTTCTTAATTGAAAAATGTAGAGGAAATAAAAATTCAGTTATTCAGGTAGAGTTGAGTGATTTTTTTTTATAAACAGACTTTATGTCATATTTTCAAATTTATAATCCCTATGTCTGTGCAAACTGCAATGGAGTATACCTGTTTCAAATTAAACTTTTTCATGGTCCTTCAAGAGTTTATGACATTGGGTGGCAAAGATATAAGAATAAAAAATCTTAATTTGTAGGAAAAGGGAGTATTTAAACAATTTCAATTCTCGATATTTCAGAATTTAGAGAGGGGGGATTCCTAACCCCCCCCCCCCTTCTCAGAGGGATAGTTTCAACTTATTAATCAGAAGATCTAGCAGAAAATGCTGTACTAACCAATCTTACCTCTAGAATGCTGTGCAGATCTTCTGGGAGGAGGAGAGGAGAGTTTCCATTGAAAAACAGGTTCATCCATCTCTGTTTCTTGTCTGCTTAATCGCTTAATTCTAGAATGGACTTCTACTGGGCTCGCTAAGTTTACTTTATCAGAGGGTTTTGGGACTATTTCTAGAGAACAAACCTCTGAACCAATGATGGTTTCTGGACTAGAGACATCTAAACCAAGGATGTTTTCTGTACTACAAACCTCTGAACCAATGATGGTTTCTGGACTAGAGACATCTGAACCAAGGATGTTTTCTGTACTACAGACAACTGAACCAATGATGGTTTCTTCACTTTGAGCTGGGTCTAGGGAATTACTTGTACCAACTGATTTTTCTTTTTTCTCCATTACGCTGGTTTTCATTATACAATATGGGTTTATTTCGGTCTCATTGGATAGCATTCTTATCTATATAAAAACTTTAGATCATGCTATGAATTAGTCTCCTCCCCTCTTAAGATTATCATAAAAGTTGAAAATTTGTATTTTTTGACTTATATAGGCCAACATTATGGATGGAGTTCTAAACTTTTTCTAAGAATTTTTTTATCGTAAATATTACAACGTTAAAATTATATTCATCTCTTCTGATGTACTTGTATTAGAACAAAGCTATTCTTAATCCAATTAGAGAATTTAGGCTTTAAAATGATAAATAGATAGATTTGAGCAGAGGACAGATCTCTGGATGGAGAAGGATAAGCAGAAGGATGCTAGAGGATTCTCCACCTGAGCTAAACTGAGAGATGGTTTCGAGGTTTCGCCAGGAGAGGACATGGGCCCAGGTGGGGGGAGGACAAAAGAGAGAATATGTATTTATACCCAAGAGAAAGATAACATGATGAGGTCATAGGGTTATATTAGGGAGTAAGCGGGGTGTAACAAGTGAGTAATAATGAAGTATAAATATTTAATTTTATAAAGTTATTCTAACAATGGAAGAATAAAATAACTAGCATCCAAAACCTTTAAAAAGTTAAATAAAACACAAATGAGGTCACAGATGTGATGTTGTTGGAATATTAGTAAAACTCATATTACAGCCTGCATAAAGAAATAGATTAGGATCTTCTTGCAATCTAATTTGTGCTAATCCTTATATCTTTTTAGACTGATTTTGTAGACCTCTTCATTCAAAACTTTTAATTCTTTTAAAACAAAATATTAAAAATATTGACTATGCCATTTCGACACAGTTGGAATTGACGGAACATAAAAGAATTAATAGTTACTGCACAATAATTTTCAACAAAAACTTGAATAGGTTTTCAGAGGGCAATAATTCTATTTCAAGAAACTGAAACTTAAAGATATTTAAAGTGTAGGTTCAAGTGACCCTCCATGCACATTTGACAATACTCGATTCACAAGCCTATATCTTACAGTGAAACCCTTAATAACGAATGCATCGGAAGAATTTATAAAATGTCGTCTTGACAATTTTTAATGAGTTTTATACAATATTACGTAAATTTCAGTATTTGCGAAAATAAATAAATAGCCATGAATATGCGGGAACAGTTTTAAAGAATTCCATATAATCATTTAATTAAAAACTAACTATCTGCAACATTTCATTATGAGAAAGTGAAGAATACAACATTTGATGAATTCTTTCGATGTATTCTTTATTAAGGGTTTCACTGTAAAAAAATGTGGGGAATTGTAATGGTCTTAAGGTTTGATCGAATGCATATCATTTCAATATGTTTCCCTGCAGTAGAAATACTTTTGTAAAGAACCCCACTATGAAAATGTTTAAAATTAACATTAATATCTATTTAATTCATTTAAATCAGATAAAGCTCTTATAGAGTACCATTGTGAATCGATATTGTCATCTTAGCATAGAGGGTCACTTGAAATTACACTTACAGTCTCTTTAAAGCACTTAACCCTGCAAACAGACTGCCCCCCTCTGTATTTTTTTGTCCTAGCACTCTCATTTTTTGACACTATCCCCGTGACATTTTGTGACTTTTAATGAATAGTAATTTAAAGGATTTTTTGTCCAAATTTTTTATTTTTTTATTTATAGGGTAGGGTACAGGGTGGAAAAAAGTCCGGTCTGTGAAAGAAAATCTAAAATAGCCCATAACTTTTTTGTGACTAAAGCTACAGATCTAAAAACTATACTTTTGAAAAGCCCTTAAAAAATGCATGTAGTGAAGAAACATGTGTCAGACTTTGCTAATTGTTTAAAACAAAAAAAATATTTCATTTTCTTGACCCTTTTTTAGGCATTTTTTCCACCCTCTCTAGCACCCAAACTAATAAAGTTATCGGTCTATTTTTTTTTCTTTGAGCTGGCCATGAAAAATTGGGCTATGAGACAACTTGTATACATATTGCTGCACCTTAGGACAGGTAAATGGGCTGATCGACCCGGCAACAGGTTGGCACCTGATGCTGCGGCCAAAAATAGAAAAATAGATCACCTTCACAAAGTGTGCACATGTGTAAACTTGTGCTCCCATTAAATTACATAAAATATTTATCAGCAAGCTAAAAATTTCAAATTTATGAAATTTTAAAAGCTAATAATCTCATAGATAAAATTGTATCAACCAAATACATTTCATGCATATTGGCCTAATGTGAAACCTAGAAATGCGGCAAGTAGAATGAGTGTGAATGCCCCGGAAGTAACAATAAAATTTGCACGTCGTCTTCCTTCGGCCAACTCCTGTTCTTTCTGAAACCAAATATTCAAAATCAATAAATGTATTTTTAAAGTTAAAAGGTTTGGTTCCAGACTTGTTTCTCAATATACCGATATTGGGGCAGAATGATTTATGAGTTCAAAATGTGCCTTGAAACAAAACGTTTAAGGTACGACTGACAAGCTTTTTTTAAAGGTTAAAAAACAGTTATCAAGACTAGGATCATAGCTCCCGCACCCCCCCCCCCACACCCCTCAAAGAACGCCTCTGCCAAAGAATATATATAGAAGATGACAAATGAAAGAAAGCTTAGAGCTAAACAACAACAGGGGTACCCCAAAAGGATGATTCCTTAGAGACGGCTTTATTTGGGCTTTTATGGTACTTTTTTACAAAATAAAATCTCCATATTCCCTAAACTTTATCTTTCTTTGTTAAATCATTTAAAATACGATTGGAAACTTTAGTACTGGACAAAGATAAAAAACTACAATTACATTGTTATATTTAAAGAGGTTTAGGTCGTCTTTCAGGGTAACCAGCTTTAAAGTATTTTTGGATATTCATGTCCTTAAATTTTCATAATTTTGGTTTAAAAACGAGTCATTTTACTTACAGGATGTTCCAATAAACATAGGAATTCAGTGACACTTTTGATATCGTCTTTGTAAATAATTTTAAGATTAAGATTAATCGACTGGTCTAATAAAAATCTACCCAAAGGAACTGGGTTCTTGGCACTAATTCAAATATTCTCACCCCTCTATATCTTTGCAACCTGGTCATAGTATTAACCTTTGATACTTTCAAACTTAAACTGTTTGATCTTATAGATTTCATAGGTTGAAATACTGAAGGTTATACGTCATCTGGTTGCAAAGATATAGGCATTGAAACGTCAGAGTTTGTGGCAAATGAACTCAACTTCTTTTTGGTCTGTTGTTTTATACAGCGCTACATCAAATCAAATGATGAGATTTTATTCAGTTGTCTGTTGATTTTTATCACAATAATTGTGAGAGATTTTTAATTTATATCTTAGCAATGGTCTTTTTCTTAAATCTCAACCAAAGTCCGACATTTATTTTTTTACATGTGCCCGTATAACGTTTGAACTGGTCCGACATTTGTACTAGTCCTACGTTTGTCTCAGTCCGGCGTTTGTACCAATCCGACGTTTGTACTGTCCGATCTTTATAACGCGCGAAGTTTGTGGGTCCGACGTTTGTAATGGTACCGTACTGTACTGGTACCGTACTGTACTGGTACCGTACTGTACTGGTACCGTACTGTACTGGTACCGTACTGTACTGGTACCGTACTGTACTGGTACCGTACTGTACTGGTACCGTACTGTACTGGTACCGTACTGTACTGGTACCGTACTGTACTGGTACCGTAATTTTAGCTTGAACTTGATGTTACAGTAAAAATTCGATTTTCTCTGATTTTGATGTTTTGTATGCTACAGTAAAAATTTTCAAAATTTAGTTTTTAGCTGAAATTTTATAATATGACAGAAAATGTTGATAATTTTGATATTACTACTCACGTTTACTGATTTTGTATTGTCTGAACAAAATATTGAAAATAAAGCAATGTTTCTGCAAAACTAAAAAGAACTGAATTTTTAATAAATACTGCAGGAACATTTTGTTACATTGCATTTATGACGTATATATTTCGATATATGCGAAAGAACAACAAACATCACTCTAAAAATCTTACCTCGGGACAAATATTTTTTAAAGAAGGTTTCATTTGGTTGGTCTGAGGAAACAGATTTATTTGCATTGTTAGTTTTTGTCTTCAATTTAGTATTTTAATGTTTTGCTGCATGATTAAGCACGGAAATAAACCATTTTTGACCTGCAACTTGCAGACACCCTGAATGTAAAAAAAGGGTCTACAGAAATTCCGTACAATTGTCTCTGAAGCCTCATCCTTTGTGGGAAACCCTTTACAAGTTCATTTATTTCCGAAAAATAATTTCCCCAAAGACGACATTTAAAATATGCTTAGTGTTTTGATAGTTTTGGATTTCCTTTCTTATTCTTGCAAGTTCTGATTTTGCACTTCTACTCGATCTTCTAAAATAAAATGAATTGCAATAAAATTGCTAGAATTACATAAATATAGTAAACAATATAAAAAAAGTTGCAGATTTTTTTTGCCTGTAACATTATAACTTGTATGTGTATTTTTAGCAATAAACTATATCTTATCTTATCAATTATCTTATCTAACCAGAAAACTCAGTGATAGGAAGACGACTTTTAGACTTTTAAGGCCTGACTTCAATGAACATGAGAAACAGCAATTGTTCAGTGTAAACAGACCAATATGAGTTGATAAGGGATTTTATAAGTTAATAATAAAACATTTTACTTTGTAACAACATCAAATACACTTTAATGTCGTCATATTCAACGGTTTTCTGGTGTACCACATTAGATATCGAGATCAATCGTTCAAGATTAACGATGATTAACACAAAGTTCCGACCTTAAAAATAAATTTCTAACAAACTGATTAATCTGATTTTCATTATTTCTTGAAGCTATTCAATTCAATGCATAAAAAGTTGTAATGCTGATCATTGAACCATAAAGAAACTCTAAATAAGGAACGAAATATTTCATAACGAAAATAATATTTGTTGAAAATACCAAAAAATAATTACAAACGATTTCTAAATATCTCGTTCTGAAAAAGTTGAAAAAACTATCGTTTTTTTACTGAAATTTTTTTTTAACAAACAAGCTCACTTAAGGAACTTTTAAACTTAAACGATTGTTCATTTAAAAACCAAACGAAATAGGTGAAAAGTGAACGATAAAAAATAGAATCTTTAAGAACGACCGAAAAAGAACAAGATGTGTCAAAAAAATTGAAAAAACGAACAAAGAATCCCATCTCTAGCTATAAAGCATGCTCTGATATCACAAAATTTAAACAAAAAAGTCACCTTGAAACTGTGCTTTGCTTTCTACGACCGTACTGTAGGTTGTAATCTGAGTCTGACCCAAAACCTTCCAGTCTGTCTAAAACAATATGAATAATTATGAACAGTTTTAGAATAATTACGAACAGGATGCAAGGAAAATATAACAATGGGTAAAATTTCCTGAAAATTTTGAATAAAATATTCAGAATTTCGAAATTCTTTTGGTAGTTTAAATATGCAAACAAAAATGTCAGGTTTATTTATATAATTTATATCAATAAAGTCATTTCTTACAGGGACTGTAAGTGTAATTTTAAGAGACACATGCAGACTATTAAAACTGAAAATAAAAATTTTCCCAATATTGGAGTGTACGCTAGCGTACAGTATGATCTCATTCCAGCTGATGTTACATATTTCTAACAAATCTCAAATATTCGATGCTTTTTGAGAAAATACACAATTCAGCTTGAAAAAAAAAACATTTAAAACCGTTTAATTCTGTAGTGTAAAAATAGGGATATAAGCCTTTCATTCTTGAGCAGTCAAAACCAAGGTTTCCAGCGAAGGAAAAATTGTTTAATTTTTTTTTCGCGACCATTTCGCTTCATTTTCGCTCGCAAAAAATGTGAAAACTTTTGCGAAATTTCGCTTCAATCTGTTTCGCGAAAAAATGCGAAACTTTCGCAAAAATAGGAAAATTTCGCGAAAAAATAATGCAAAAATTTCGCGAAAAAATAATGCGAAAATTTCGTGAAAAAAGCGAAAATTTCGCGGAAAAATGGAAATTATGCATTAAAAAGGAAAAATTTAGCGAAAACTACAGAATTTTTATAAACAAATGCAAAATTGAAACATTTATTATAGTGAAGGGAGAGAAATTATTTATATGACATAATAAAAATCAAATATTGAGCTATCAGAGCAGAGAATTCCACAATTTCTTTTGGACAATTAATTGTTGCAACTATAAAGCTCATGGGTTTCACAAAATTTTCGCATTTCTTATTTTTGCGAAATATTTTTTCGCGGAATTTCGCTTCGTTATTGCTTAATTTATTTTCGCAAAAAAATGCGAAATTTCGCGAAAAAATTTGCGAAATGCGACAGAAAATTTTCGCAATTTTTCGCGAAACGTTTCGTTCGCTGAAAACCCTAGTCAAAACTTAAAGGTTACTGTTGTGAAATATGGAGGGTCACAATATTATGTGCTCAGTCATCTAAAATAGAACAACTCCTATAGTAAATATTTGTGGTTCAATCTTAAAAAGATTAAAATAAGATTCATCCAGGTGGCCCCACATGAAGATCCGCATTACAATAGTATTTTTTAGAAATATAAAAAAATGAAGATTCCATCAATGTTAATATTACTAATAACAGATATCAATCTGCACTCTGCAGGAAGTAATTTTCCGTGTAATACAAACGGCGGAAAGTATCAAATAATGAAAAAGAAAGTTCTATTTTCCTCTTTTCCTCTTTTCCTCTTCTCCTTACTCTAGATTGCAATCAAAAGTTAGTATAAATATTTATATTATATATAGTATATTATAGTGAAAACTTTGTATTTCAAATTCAGGGCTTTGGCAAACATTTAATTTAATTTCTCCGTCAAAACAAGTTAAAATCAAGATACAACTCTGAAATTTTAAATTGAATGGGACTGTAAGCATAATTTCAAGTGACCTTGAAGTTTAGGTAAAAGGGTATAATACATGCTGCAAAGCCCATATTTTTCAGGCCAGCGAAGTAAAAAAAAAGACCGATAGTTTTAATTGGTATCGGATGCTAGATATATTTAATATCTCATGGTTATATACCAGGACTTTCCTATTAATCAAGCTGTCATTAGAAGTTTAAAAATATTACCCCCTGCATCTATATCTCCTTCACTCCAGCTTTCCATCAATGGACGAATTCTAAAAAGACGTGGAATATGGTCGAAATAAAAGTATACGCATTTTAAAAAAGGATTTGGAGACGAATTGGGAAAAGTTTGGACATAGTTAAACAAAGTAATGTAGTTTTTAAATTGTTTAATACCAACCCTACAGGCGGCTTTGCTTATTTTAAGCCCACCCAGCATTTTAAGATTAAAGTTTTCTAGATTTTTTCACGTGATCTGTTCACAAGCATGACAGTTTAAATGTACAGTTTTCCGTTAATAAGTAATCTGAAATCAAATCATGAAAATATGTAATACCTTAAAAAAAATTTTTTTTGTTATTACTAAAGTTTACAGAGAATCCTAAAACGTTTAGATACAACTTGACCCAGAACATCGGAGACATCAAAAGAATTTATTAATTTCGTCTTGACAATTTTTCAATGTGTTTTTTATTGTTATACCTCCATCTCAGTAACTGTATATATATAAATAATTAAAAAGCCATGACATACAGTGAAACCCTTAATAACGAATACATCGAAAGAATTCATCAAATGTCGTATTCTTCACTTTCTGATAATGGAATGTTGCAGATATTTAGTTTTTTTAATTAAATGATTATATGGAACTCTTTAAAACTGTTCCCGCATATTCATTCATGGCTATTTATTTATTTTCGCAAATACTGGAATTTACGTAATATAGTATAATACTCATTGAAAAATTTTCAAGACGACATTTCATAAATTCTTTCGATGTATTCGTTTTTTTTTTAAAGTGTTTCACTGTATGTGAGCACAGTTTTAAACAGCTCTATATAATCATTCAACATCAGTAGGTTTGGAAAACGACATTTCATAAATTATTTCGATGTTTCTGAAATTCTGGGCTAAGCTGTAAATCGAACAGTCTTTTGGGAAGGTTCAATATGTTCTACCTTAGATGTTGCTGTCCCGGTGATACGGACTGGCTCCTGTTCCTCTTGTGGACAAAAAAGTCGCGTCGCTTGCTAGGAGAAGAACCACGTCTAGGAGATATATCCAACCTAGAACCCCGTCTAGGAGATGTTTCCATCCTAGAACTACGTCTAGGAGATGTTTCCATCCTAGAACTACATCTAGGAGACATATCCATTCTTGAACTACATCTAGGGGGTATATCTAACCTAGAACTGTATTGAGGCCTCTGATTTATAGTATTTCTTGACTTCTCACTAAGCACGCTTTCTCGTCTACCTACAGATTAAACTTTTCAGAGCTGAAAACTTTATAATTTGATACCGTTAATACCAATAGCTTAATCTGGATATCCAGTATGAACGCTTTTACTTTCCTTCTTTGTCCGATCTTTTTATTTCCAACCAATGAGAGTTCGCTCATCAAATGGTGCGCAAAATTTCAAATATCTCGACTTTTCTTATTGGATATCCTGTTTTCTCCAAACCCCATGTCGATTGGTTGAGTTGATTCAAACTTAAGATTAAATTAATCTTGAAATTAGAAAAAAGAGAAGATTAAACATTGATATCGATATCCGCAATTCTAAAGTTGACAGCTCAGATTCGTTTTAATGTTCGTTTTAATCTATTATTTCTCCCTGGATTAACATTTTAGCATAGTTTTAAAAAGCAGAAAAAGACGGAATCTGTACAATTTCACAGTATTTTTGTGATGTCTTTTAAAAGTTCAAAAAGCTTGAAAGTTCTAGAAAACAAACCAAGTTATTGAACTATTTAACTCTTATATTGGTTTGTAAAGTGGCAGTTATAAACTCCTTTCTAATGTTAAACTTAGTACGAGAAATAAGTTGAAAATACAATGAATGCGAGTTAAAGTTTTCCAAATTACAAATTTGCTAGAAAACAAGAAGAAGCTGTTGTTTGACAGTTTCACTTTGTTTCAATGTTTATGTGTATCCACAATCCACATGCTTTGTGAAAGCTGGAAAGAAATCAAAAATCAAAAGTTGTCTTCATTAATAAATAAAACGACGACTGATTTAATTCCAAAGTTTCACCTCTATAATTTTGTGTAAATTCATCTTCATCTTGAAACTTGTGGTTCGATATTTCATGATGCAACAAAGGCCTTAAAATATAAAAATATAAAAAAACCATTTTTATAAAGTTAAACCCTAAATATTAAATACATCGAAAGAACTTTTCAAAAATCGTATTCTTCACTTTCTGATAATGGAATGTTGCAGATTTTTAGTTTTTTTAATTAAAAGATTATATGGAGCTATTTAAAACTGTTCCCGCATATTCATGGCTATTTATTTATCTTCGCAATTACTGAGATTTGCATACGAAAAATAGTATAAAACCCATTGAACAATTGTCAAGACGATATTTCATGAATTGTAAATATTTAATTTTTAGGGTTTAGATGTACTTATGTTTTATAATGGTTAAACCATTTATATTAGGTCTAAGGTGCAACTTGTACATGATATAATTATAAAAAAACATTTTCACTTAATTTCCCAATGGGAACTATTAAGTTGAAGTGGTTAGACTTTATTAGTAAATCTTTAAGCTTTACGAGATAGTGGGTCACAAACATTAAATAAATTTCGAGTAAGTGCTTTCGGAAGGAATTAGGGATACAAAAGTTCATATCTTTGACAATATAAAATAGGTACTATTTTAAGTATTTACCCAATAACAGAACTTCTTTTCTTCCGTTCCTGTAACCAGTTCTCCAATCTTTCATCCTGACAATAACAACTGTTTGATTGTCATCTTGGTTCTGTCTTCTCTAGTGAATTTATAATTTGGAGCTGTTATAAGTAATATCTCAAAATTAAAATGCACTTTTAAAAATATCAAAGACAATCGTCCCTCTTCCCCTGAATACCCTTGTCTCGATAAGATAAGTATTATTTAATATTCATTTATAAATATTAAAATTAGATGTAACAAGTCAAAATAAAATAAGTAAATAAAAATATGATTTTTTTTTAAACGCCTCTTAACGAAGAAAGTAGTGGCCATTCTGTAAAAAATCAATTTAATTTCAAACATAAATATCATTCAGATATTACATCCTATAATCATCGATTTTTTTTCGACGCATTTGTATATAGTGATTTTTTTAAATTAATATTTCGCATACAGCTTGTTTTTACAGCTGGCTCTGGATTTTCGAACATTTCTGGAAAAGATGAAAATTTCGTCTTCATTATCAAATATCCTCGAAACAGGATCATATAGAATAAAAAAACTTTATACGAATCCGTCGAAAAAAAATCGATGATTATAGGATGTAGCATCTGAATGATTTCTTTAAGAACCTAATATTGTAAACCTTTGATATTTCAACTTTTGTCTGTTTGATTTAAAAGAAAGCTTGAAATATCAAAATTCTACGATATCAGGTTGACGAGGTAAATCATGATTAGTAAATTTGAGGCAACAACTCAATTCCTTTGCTGATTTTTGCAAACATTTTACATTAACCTTCCCATGATTCCCCTAACAGATACTATACCACCTTTTTACCAACAAAACCGACCTATGATTCTCCCCCATCAGAGGGATGTCAAGTTACTTTTCGTCCCGAGGAACAATTAAGTAAAATAACGACCCGCTCTGCGAAATTTTCATAAAAAATTTGCGCATTTGTGTCTTAAAAGATAAAATTGGGCTTGAAAAAGTTTTGTCAAATTTCAAGGTGGTATTTTCTTTAAAAATCAGCAGTTCACCCTGTATACTTTTAACATGAAGACGAATTTCGATCTAAATTTTGATTTTTTCAAGCTGTTAAGCAGAATGGATAAACATAAGCAAAGAAGTCAAAAGAAGCTGTCAATCAAAAAGGCTAATCTTTTACTTCTAAACTTATGTTTCGAAAAAAGCTTCGTTACAATTAAAACTTAATTAAAAAGTCGTCTTCATTGTATTGATATTATCATGTATCGCCTATCACTGTAATTAAATTCATAATATGAAGAGTGAAGACAAAGGATTAAACTGTTAGAGCTTGTGGCGAATATTCAGTTCCATTGTCATATTTTTTTATTCTAAAACAAGTTATTTACCCTGAAGAGTCCTGGATTGTGTTCCAGATCACGTATCTTGAAGATTTCCTATTCAACAGACAAACCTGTCTTTTTAACAAATAGACCAGGCTCAGAAGCTTGGTAAACTTTACAATAATAACATTTTAGTGTCTTTACAGAATATTTACTTCAAAGAAATGATCGTTCATTTTTAAATAAAATATGAGGAATTCTATGTTTTTATATGGAGCAAAATTTTCGGGACATCAATTTGTGACTTGTGATTTAATTCTCTTAAAATTCGTAACTTTTGAAAAATATAATTTTTGAATTTATCCTTTTTTATATTGATACATATATCTGTAAAGTATATAATAAATTAATTAAAGTGTGTTTGAATAAATGAAAGGATATTAAGCTGTCTGAAGTCCTGTGGTTGAGGATTCCTCCCCTGAGACTCAAAGTTAAACAGATACTTTACAATTAGAGATGGGCATAGTTTTTGTGAATTAATGACATTTTTCGAACAAACTTTTGAACAAGAGGTTTTATTTAACGAACTAATTTACTGAACGAACGATTTTACTACAAAACAAATGATTTTACTGAACGATCGTTCAGTGAGAAAACAAACAAAATAGATGGAAAATGAACGATAATTTTGATACCAAACGAAATAATTTTTTTGAACGATTAAAAAACAAACGAAATGAGTCGTTTACGAACGTTTACAAACGATGAACAAACTAAATGAAAAAAGCCGAACGCGCCCATCTCTATAATTAGAATTTACATTTCTACTGCTGCTGGATAGGGATGGGCAGCTTCACTCTTTTTCAGAAATGAATTCTTACTTTCACGATGATTACAGATCAAAATAAGAAAATGATTGGACATTTCAAAACGAAAAACTATCAGAAACCAGTTTGGACTTTCATTAAAGTTTTGAGCAAAAAAAAGCTTATTAAGTCTACATATAGTATAATATGCAGCTTAAATGTAATACTTCAAGCCTACAATTTTATCAACTTAGACGGCTAAAAAAGCAGAAGAGATTGTGCAATTTTATCAAGTTACAAATTTTTTTTTACAGCAAATCCTCTCTTACCAAGACTTGCTTTGTCAGCAATTCATAAGGAGATAACTCAAAAATTACTGACTTTTCATGATGATAACAACAGATATTTCAAACTTTGATTGTTGCATGATCTCAAAGGTTTCATGGTTAGAAATATTAATGGATATGACATTCGGTCTCAAATATATAAAGGTTGGAAAACTAGAGACTGTTACGAGAAACTTGTAAATGTTTACCCTAATATCAGCCACTGCCCACTAACAAAGCTAGTGGGTCAAATAGGCCTATGAGAGGATAGGCCAGGTATACTGTAAAAAGTCTGGCCGAGCCATCAAAGTTGAAACCGAGTCGGTAAAGGATACCAACACACCTGCCACGTGTCACTAAGGACCAAACAAGGAGTTGGTTTGGTTCGGATTTAAATGGATCCTTGTCCACCATGCAGCACAGCAACCATGGCAGATTTGGAAACGCATACATTTGTACTTTTTTTCTGACGGATTGGACAGATGTTAAATGACAGATTTCCTGGTGTTCTGGGCAGTGCAGCTGTCTTTGGATTTGACGAAACATACGATGAACCCTAGGAAGAAATTTCAAATTAGGTTTCAACAAATCTCAGCTTAAAATTACTTGAGAATCTGAACTATGAATATTTAGTTCAATTAATATTCTTGGTTCAAATTCTAGGGTTTCCAGCGAACGAAATTTAGCGGACTTTTTTTTCGTATTTTGCAAATTTTTTTTTCGAAATATGGTTTTTTTTGCGAAAATTAATTTTGCGTAAGGAAGCGAAACTGATGCTGAATTTTGTGAGGATAAAAATATGGGACAATTTACCGAAAAATAGTAAAATTTTCTCTTTTTTTCGCTTAATTTACCATTAATCTATTTCGCGAAAAAATGCGACATTCTTGGCTCCGTTTCATTTGCCACCATACAGGGTGTCCCACGAAACATGACAGTATGCAGGACGACTTGAATGTCGTCTTGATTTTTGATATAATTTGCTGCGTTTATTTGTCAACCTAATTTTAGAAGTAAATTTCTAGAGATAATAATCACAAAATTTCCCTTGTCCTGCCATTTCCAAAATGTGGTCTGCCCGTTTTGTGCTTTCAATATTGTCCGAGATATGAAGAATTTCGTTCAGATTTCGACAATTTTGCATTTATTTAACAAAATTGAAATCTGAACCAAACTCTTTATATCTCCGGTAATATTGAAATCACAAAAAACGCAGACTATTTTTTGGAAATGCCAGGGCTAGGAGAATTATGTGATAATTGTTTCAAGAATCATACATGTTAAAGTAGATAGAAGACTAAATGTCACAAATAAATTCAAATACCAAAGACGACTTTCAAGTCGTCTTGCTATTGTCGTGTTTCGTGGGACACCCTGTAGATGCTGTGTCACAAGGCAAACCTGTAATTTATGGGATTGCTACTGATTGCATAAATATTATGGCAAGTGTAATTATGACAACTTTTTATGGAAAATGGAGTTGCAAATTTATGCAGCTTTTAATACCGGGTGTCCCACGAAACATGACAGTCGGTGAATAGTTTTGAATGTCTCTTCCATATGCTGTATTAGATACAGGGTGTCCCAAAAAACATGGGAATTCAGTGACTAATTTGATATCGTCTTAGTTATGAATTAGCATTGTAATACCTAATTTCAAAAGCTTTAATATTATAATTTCTGCTAGAATTTATTTTATGAAAAGGGTAAAAGTCTGCAAAGAAGTGTCTCCGCAAGATGAACAGTGAAGACGGACAAGTTTACTCTGTTTGTATACTGCAATTTTCTTGTTTTACTAAGTACAGCCGTATGCAGTCAAAACATAAACAAACAAAATGTGAACATATTAGACAAAACTCTTACAGATTACAACTTTCTCACTAGGTATCACTCTAAATCTTAAGAATTATTTAAAAAGATGATATCGAATTCTTCACTGAATTCCCATGTTTATTGGGACACCCTGTAGTAAAGACTTTAAGCAGTTTATTTAGTTTAAAAAAAAAATTTACTCAAATAAATTTTACTTCAATCAATTTTACTAAAATATGGATGCCATAAAATATTTATTATCATTCTCAATGGCAGCCATGAACTTATTATGGAAGAATACATTTTAAACTATTAAACTATTTAAACTTGATTTCTAACAAAAAAAACACTCAAAAGTGCCAAGTTTCATATGAATTGTCACAAACTCTGATTTTCTAAACCCTCTTTTCAATACAATGTCATAGACCTTAGATATTTTAAACTATGAATTCTGTTGGACCAAATTTGAAATATCAAACATGAACAGTTAGTTAGCAAAGATATAGAAAATCTAAAAGTTGAGACCGTGGCAAAGACATAATTCCTTTGAAATTCAATAATGTAAATGTTATTTAAACAGTTTCTCCATGAAGAAATTGAACAGGACAACCTCATGAATTTATAATTTGAAAGCTTAGACATTATAAAGACTTATATTTATATACTAGCTTGGGAACCCGCAGTTACCGCACTTGATCGTAAATTACGATTTTCTCTATATTTCCCGATAAAAGGCTCTCTCGAGTTCCCTAGTAAAGTTTTAGTCGGGGAACTCGGGAGGACCACGAGAATGTTCTTAGCTTGCTCAACTTTGATAAGGAAAAATAACTCGTAATTTACGACCAAGCGCAGGTAAACGTCTGGAGCAGTATTAGTACTTTGGGGCTGGACAACTCATAGTGTTAGATGATTTAACAAATAACAGGGTTATCTTATAACATAAAGCCGATTTTAAATTGGTAAAATCTTCGTCCTTTTTAAAAGAATTTTTTCAATCTATTAAAAGATTTCAGTATTGTTTTGTAATATATTCAAAATCTGCAAATATTCTTGACAAAAATCCAGATCCTTAATTAAGCCAATTGGGGGGTTCTAGAAAAGGGAAGATTTGGATATTCCAGAAATATCTAAATATCGACTCAAAGAAGTTCTTTGTAAGATTTCGATTCTACTGAAGACCACCGGAGGGATTTTATTTTCACTGGAGCGGTTTCAAAAATGCTTTTTACAATCTAAAACTGATTTACATTCCCCTGGAGGGATTCAGAAATCTTTTCAGGGGTTTTTAAATCCACTGGAGGAATTCAGATATCATCTAGGGGGTTTATAAATCCACTGGAGGGATTCAGATATCCTTCCTGGGGGTTTATAATTCCACTGGAGGGATTCAAATATCCTTCCTAGGGGTTTATAATTCCACTGGAGGTATTCAGATATCTTTTCAGAATGATTTCTGAATCCCTCCAGTGGAGTCAAAATCTTACTACGAACTTCCGGGACTCTTAAATATCTACATTTTCATAGTTTTTAAATAAATCACCTGGCTAAATCCTTGAGTTCTTTAGTAGTACTAGCTTCACAGTATCTACAAATATATATAATACAGGGGGAACCACAAAGTATAAGGCTTTAGAGACGACTGTACGAAATAAAACTTTTCCCGGTTCCATATCACTCATTTTAATCTATTTTCATTATTTTTAAAATTATTAAATTCAAATTCTATCAAGAAGACTAAATTCAACTTTCGGATCGTTTCATTTCAAAAGTCCTTATTGTCTCATATAACCTCCATATAATTTGTCTCTCAGACTAAATGGAAAAAGGGTGTGGGGAATGGTTGAGGGTCTGAATCTATAGTATAGCATGGAGGCAACAGTCCCCATTTTTCCTTTCATGTCATATATTTCCAGAGATGAGAACTGTGCATGCATATCGAGATCAATGCTTGATCTTGTAACTAATCTGCAGATTAATTTATCCGAAAACTCATTCGGCCGCATGGTAATCCTACCCTGTAGGATTACCTGTAATAAAAACATTAAACCTTGATCTTCAAACTATAAGTGCCCACAATGAATATCGAAATCATGGGATTTTAAGTATCCAACACTATAAAGTATAGTATAGTAGTATAAAACACGAAGGCGATCTTTTGCGAGTTTTTAAATAAGCTTTAATAAAAAGGGGGAAGTATCCGTTTCTAAACTGTACATGTAGGTCCGTATACCCTTGGTTATCAAAATTCAAACATAAATCAATGTTTTTGGAAAATATTTTAATTTCCGGTTTAGCTTGAAAAGTGAGGAAACACTATTTGAAAGTCAAGACACTTCAAACTACGGTGCGTTCCACTCAATTCTGCAAATGTTGAATTCAAATTTAAAAAGATTTTAGTGATCATTCAGAGCTGCAGAACTCCAGAATGGAATATCGTTAATCATGATTGGTTAATTAATCTGGAGATTAATAACAAAAGGAGAACAAGCATTATTTAATCTGGAGATTGAGAAAAAGAGGAGATCAAGCATATTAATCCCAATTTCCACCATTCAAAAGTTCCCAGCTCAGGTAAAATTTAAATAAAAGAAGTTATTTTTACAGAAAACGGGTCAACTAATAATGTACTTGTGTTTACAGTTTTTCATGAAATTGTTTTGGTTTAAAGGTCCGAAAGGAATTATTATTATTTTTCATTATTTATGGTGCTTTTATATACTGTACCACAGAATTATGCAAGTAATTTTTCTTCATAGATATGAGAAAGAAAAATTATCTTTCCACTAATACTCAAGGGGGTTTAAAGCTGCAAAAAGTTGCGATATCCTCAAACTCTAAAGGGAAATAACAACGAACGCCCCATAAGACCCTAAAATCACTTCTTGAAGCAACAAGGATGGATGTAACCCCTAAAATGGCTGGTTGCAGAGTTCTGACAACAGTGGGTCGGTTTTTAAAGCAGTCCCACAAGAGCCAGCTATATGAGAGTCATCATCAACGATATATTGAAAAGGAAAACCTGAAAAATGACTTTTCAAAATAATTTGTACCAACAAAATGATGTCCGGGGCCTCAAACCTGGTTAACCTCAACCCAAAAGAAATCCTTCTGGCGATCTTGAAACACGAAATTTACAAGAATGGAAGACTGTTTTGGTTCAAGGAAACCCATTAAAAGATCGTACAAGAGGTTCCAAAGGTTATCCCAACCTCCAACAGCCTCAAGCAAACAGCCTCTATGGGTTCCATTTTGATTAAGTCAAACAGAAGATAGGGTGGCATGTCAAAAATTATATTCGATATTTTCACGATTTTTAAAATATAACAGGGGTTTGAACCCAAAAATACATTTTTTCAAATTTCAAACTTCATTAAAATGCATAATACAATTGCAATTTTCAAATACAAAGATGCAAGCCAGTTGCATAATTCAGTAATACACTAAAAACAAGTAAAATACTAATTGTTCAAGTCAATACATAAATTGCTAGATAATTTTCTGCAAAAAAATATGAAAAAGAATGTTAAGTGTAGTTTTACACAAATATAGTTTTTTTTACTTTCATATTGGAAATCTCTAAGACCCCTGTTTTACAATTTTAAAGTAAATTTAAGCATTTGCATAATTCATTGGATCGAACGCACTGAATATCAAAATCATGAATAAAATAAATGTGTTTAATGAGAACTTTTAGGAAACCAAGAATGCAAGTAAAATAATTTATACAACTTTTGGTTGGAATACTTAGTTAGTTCGACTTTTTTCATCAAATTTCTTCCACGGGCAACGTCGGACACTTAAGTCGGAGTTTTTTATATTCTGATGTTTTTACCTCTGCATTTTGACATCTGAATCCAGCAGGCTTGTATAATCAACCTATTAAACAGTTCTGATGCAAGATTTTAAAATAATTTAGCTTGTTTATGTGATAAAGGAATATCCTCGAATTTTAGACAAAGGATTGGAGTCTTTGCCACAAACTCAAATTATCCAATCCTTATATCTTTGCAACCTAGTGATGTAATCCTTTGATATTTCAAACTTAGATTTTTTAATCTGAAAGAATTTATAGTTTGAAATACCTAAGGTTTACAACTTTTGGTTGCGAAGATGATTTACAGTCACCTTAAGGCTGTTCAGATATAGTAATTAGAAAATTAGAGTTTAAGGGCCTATTTTTTGAAAACTCTTTAAATTTTTCTTCTACAGATCTAAGGTTAAAGAAGAACTTTCTACCAAAATTCTTCAGTAAACTTAATTAAAAGAAGGTTGAGAAACTCAAAACTTTTCAGCCACATATCCCATATTTCCTCTTTGCAATTAACACGTATTGTCGCGTAATCAATCTCAGTTTACAGGCAATCAACTCCTATTTTCCTTGAAATTAACCACTGTATTTCCATTCATTAACACTTTATTTCTATCCATTAACCAATTTCTTGCTATTAACCCCTATATTTCTTGCAATTAACCTCTATCTTTATTGCAATTAACCACGATATTTGTTGCAATTAACCGGTATTTTCTTTAAAATTAAGACCTATTTTATTTGTTACTATTTATAAAAAAACTTATTTTTGCTTCAATTAACCCCATATTCTTTCTCTATTTTTCCATTATCTAGATAAAGTTAATTAATTAAAAAATAGTTACCTTGCTGTCATCTTGACTGGACACTGCATAGTATGTTGGTACTCGTGTAATTACTGTCCTAAATACAACTATTTGATCATTTTAATTTACAATTTGATTCTTGTTTACGATAAAAGAGTGGTGACTTAAAAAGCAACAGTTACTAGAAAGAAACGCCTTTTAATCATAGTTATATTGACCTTTTAAGTAGAATTGTAACCTCTTTTATTTCAAGTTATTGCAATATAATCTTAATACAACATCGCCTCTAGTTTATTGTCATAAAGATTAATACACTGATTTTAGCCGAGATGACCGCTCAGCCAGCCAGGAAATATTGAACCAGGATTACTTAGTTGATAACGAAGTCCGAAGGCACGGGCAGCTGTAGTACATTTGAATTTCCGAGCCGGGTCAACCTTTCCGGTCCTAGTTTGTACTGTGCCAAGCTCTATGGACAGGGCTAGCCGGTGCAACAAGGTTGACGCGGTCAGACTTTATTCTTCATATAGGTTAAATTTACTTTTACTAAAGGGGCAGAGGTGCTTGAAGGAGAGGGGATCGCTTGAAGGAGAGGGGATCAACTTCATGTCTACGCAACCTCATCTTTGAAACTTGATAAAAATCATGTTCCAACCGGTTACCTCTTTCAGACCAAGGAAGAAAAAGGAGGATGGGGGCAAATACTGGAATTTACGTAATATAGTATAATACTCATTGAAAAATTTTCAAGACGACATTTCATAAATTCTTTCGATGTATTCGTTTTTTTTTTAAAGTGTTTCACTGTATGTGAGCACAGTTTTAAACAGCTCTATATAATCATTCAACATCAGTAGGTTTGGAAAACGACATTTCATAAATTATTTCGATGTTTCTGAAATTCTGGGCTAAGCTGTAAATCGAACAGTCTTTTGGGAAGGTTCAATATGTTCTACCTTAGATGTTGCTGTCCCGGTGATACGGACTGGCTCCTGTTCCTCTTGTGGACAAAAAAGTCGCGTCGCTTGCTAGGAGAAGAACCACGTCTAGGAGATATATCCAACCTAGAACCCCGTCTAGGAGATGTTTCCATCCTAGAACTACGTCTAGGAGATGTTTCCATCCTAGAACTACATCTAGGAGACATATCCATTCTTGAACTACATCTAGGGGGTATATCTAACCTAGAACTGTATTGAGGCCTCTGATTTATAGTATTTCTTGACTTCTCACTAAGCACGCTTTCTCGTCTACCTACAGATTAAACTTTTCAGAGCTGAAAACTTTATAATTTGATACCGTTAATACCAATAGCTTAATCTGGATATCCAGTATGAACGCTTTTACTTTCCTTCTTTGTCCGATCTTTTTATTTCCAACCAATGAGAGTTCGCTCATCAAATGGTGCGCAAAATTTCAAATATCTCGACTTTTCTTATTGGATATCCTGTTTTCTCCAAACCCCATGTCGATTGGTTGAGTTGATTCAAACTTAAGATTAAATTAATCTTGAAATTAGAAAAAAGAGAAGATTAAACATTGATATCGATATCCGCAATTCTAAAGTTGACAGCTCAGATTCGTTTTAATGTTCGTTTTAATCTATTATTTCTCCCTGGATTAACATTTTAGCATAGTTTTAAAAAGCAGAAAAAGACGGAATCTGTACAATTTCACAGTATTTTTGTGATGTCTTTTAAAAGTTCAAAAAGCTTGAAAGTTCTAGAAAACAAACCAAGTTATTGAACTATTTAACTCTTATATTGGTTTGTAAAGTGGCAGTTATAAACTCCTTTCTAATGTTAAACTTAGTACGAGAAATAAGTTGAAAATACAATGAATGCGAGTTAAAGTTTTCCAAATTACAAATTTGCTAGAAAACAAGAAGAAGCTGTTGTTTGACAGTTTCACTTTGTTTCAATGTTTATGTGTATCCACAATCCACATGCTTTGTGAAAGCTGGAAAGAAATCAAAAATCAAAAGTTGTCTTCATTAATAAATAAAACGACGACTGATTTAATTCCAAAGTTTCACCTCTATAATTTTGTGTAAATTCATCTTCATCTTGAAACTTGTGGTTCGATATTTCATGATGCAACAAAGGCCTTAAAATATAAAAATATAAAAAAACCATTTTTATAAAGTTAAACCCTAAATATTAAATACATCGAAAGAACTTTTCAAAAATCGTATTCTTCACTTTCTGATAATGGAATGTTGCAGATTTTTAGTTTTTTTAATTAAAAGATTATATGGAGCTATTTAAAACTGTTCCCGCATATTCATGGCTATTTATTTATCTTCGCAATTACTGAGATTTGCATACGAAAAATAGTATAAAACCCATTGAACAATTGTCAAGACGATATTTCATGAATTGTAAATATTTAATTTTTAGGGTTTAGATGTACTTATGTTTTATAATGGTTAAACCATTTATATTAGGTCTAAGGTGCAACTTGTACATGATATAATTATAAAAAAACATTTTCACTTAATTTCCCAATGGGAACTATTAAGTTGAAGTGGTTAGACTTTATTAGTAAATCTTTAAGCTTTACGAGATAGTGGGTCACAAACATTAAATAAATTTCGAGTAAGTGCTTTCGGAAGGAATTAGGGATACAAAAGTTCATATCTTTGACAATATAAAATAGGTACTATTTTAAGTATTTACCCAATAACAGAACTTCTTTTCTTCCGTTCCTGTAACCAGTTCTCCAATCTTTCATCCTGACAATAACAACTGTTTGATTGTCATCTTGGTTCTGTCTTCTCTAGTGAATTTATAATTTGGAGCTGTTATAAGTAATATCTCAAAATTAAAATGCACTTTTAAAAATATCAAAGACAATCGTCCCTCTTCCCCTGAATACCCTTGTCTCGATAAGATAAGTATTATTTAATATTCATTTATAAATATTAAAATTAGATGTAACAAGTCAAAATAAAATAAGTAAATAAAAATATGATTTTTTTTTAAACGCCTCTTAACGAAGAAAGTAGTGGCCATTCTGTAAAAAATCAATTTAATTTCAAACATAAATATCATTCAGATATTACATCCTATAATCATCGATTTTTTTTCGACGCATTTGTATATAGTGATTTTTTTAAATTAATATTTCGCATACAGCTTGTTTTTACAGCTGGCTCTGGATTTTCGAACATTTCTGGAAAAGATGAAAATTTCGTCTTCATTATCAAATATCCTCGAAACAGGATCATATAGAATAAAAAAACTTTATACGAATCCGTCGAAAAAAAATCGATGATTATAGGATGTAGCATCTGAATGATTTCTTTAAGAACCTAATATTGTAAACCTTTGATATTTCAACTTTTGTCTGTTTGATTTAAAAGAAAGCTTGAAATATCAAAATTCTACGATATCAGGTTGACGAGGTAAATCATGATTAGTAAATTTGAGGCAACAACTCAATTCCTTTGCTGATTTTTGCAAACATTTTACATTAACCTTCCCATGATTCCCCTAACAGATACTATACCACCTTTTTACCAACAAAACCGACCTATGATTCTCCCCCATCAGAGGGATGTCAAGTTACTTTTCGTCCCGAGGAACAATTAAGTAAAATAACGACCCGCTCTGCGAAATTTTCATAAAAAATTTGCGCATTTGTGTCTTAAAAGATAAAATTGGGCTTGAAAAAGTTTTGTCAAATTTCAAGGTGGTATTTTCTTTAAAAATCAGCAGTTCACCCTGTATACTTTTAACATGAAGACGAATTTCGATCTAAATTTTGATTTTTTCAAGCTGTTAAGCAGAATGGATAAACATAAGCAAAGAAGTCAAAAGAAGCTGTCAATCAAAAAGGCTAATCTTTTACTTCTAAACTTATGTTTCGAAAAAAGCTTCGTTACAATTAAAACTTAATTAAAAAGTCGTCTTCATTGTATTGATATTATCATGTATCGCCTATCACTGTAATTAAATTCATAATATGAAGAGTGAAGACAAAGGATTAAACTGTTAGAGCTTGTGGCGAATATTCAGTTCCATTGTCATATTTTTTTATTCTAAAACAAGTTATTTACCCTGAAGAGTCCTGGATTGTGTTCCAGATCACGTATCTTGAAGATTTCCTATTCAACAGACAAACCTGTCTTTTTAACAAATAGACCAGGCTCAGAAGCTTGGTAAACTTTACAATAATAACATTTTAGTGTCTTTACAGAATATTTACTTCAAAGAAATGATCGTTCATTTTTAAATAAAATATGAGGAATTCTATGTTTTTATATGGAGCAAAATTTTCGGGACATCAATTTGTGACTTGTGATTTAATTCTCTTAAAATTCGTAACTTTTGAAAAATATAATTTTTGAATTTATCCTTTTTTATATTG